TGTCGGTTACATCAGATATAAGAGATTGTTTGGAGATATCTGTTATTGGATACTTGTAGCCTCCTGGTATTTTTGTTACTATTTTGTTACTATTTTAATTCTCTTTCTTGAGAAAAGTGTATATTAAATAGTTGGGGCTTGTTTGGTTGCATGGAAATACTGATAGCTGGCGCATACATTTTGGAGGTGATTTGAGCTTAGGGATTGGTTCATCATTAATCCTCGCGTAGTTACTTTGACGGTGTAAAAATGTATGGTGGAAATTGTGAAGATTGAATTGAATGCCCAACTAACTGTCATATCATACTCTTAGTATACCTGTGTGTCAGTGACAGTCGCGATTGAACTGGTGATGAATTATTGTCTGTAGTTAGTGCTGTTGCTAAACTAAAGCATAATATCAATCAACCGGATTACAAATTTTGATGGGATTATACGTAGCATTCGCATTTTGATAAGGGTCAATCATTTAGTTGGTACGGACGGAACTGACGACTGATCTTTAAATTCCTAAGTTCACACCATTTTCAGCAGTATTCCAGGTGTTTTTGGATTCCATGTTACTCAGGCATCAAACGAGGTCATCTTTTTTGTCAAATTAACAAGGAGTTTATGAGCCTCTCATGAGAGTGCAGACTGGTGACAACATGGTCACAACAGGAAAGCCACAATAATGCTTTTGTAGATGAATTTTCTAGTAGATACGGCCTCCAAAGTCATCAAAACACGTAAAGCAAACTCTGGAATTCTACTGATTACCAGAAGGATCTGATCTCATATTCGAGCTCACTCAGAACTCCTTGTTTCATACTACCCAGACGATTTACCCCTGATTTTGTTACTGCACTAAAGCCAACGGCTGGTTATTCAGAAGAATATGTATGCTTTAGAGTTCCACACCGAATGAGCTTTAAAAGACCAGGTTATATATTTTTTTACCAAAATACCTTGTCTGCTAAATGTAGTAAGGATGAGCACCGGTGAACAGTGCAATTTACTCTCAGGAGAGATAGTAGTGACGCTTCTGTTCATTTCTCTAGAAACGTGCATGGATGTTTGTTAGTTTAAACAAAACTGTGGGAGGCGAATTTAAGCGCCCTTCCACAATCACGCTAATGACTATAGCAGGTCTGTAGTTCGGTGGAAGCTGTCTTGGCCCTGTTTTATGTATGAAAGCGCCGATTGTATCCTTTTAGTCCATCCGTAACACACCTTGGTCAGGTGGCACATTGAATATCACAGTTAGTGGGGCTGCAACATAATATGTAATATGTCTCAGGATTTTGGAGTTTAGTTTATTCGGTCTTGTTGACATCTCCATGTCTAAGGTGGTAAGAGTATTAAGTACATTGTCTTGATCAAAGTTCATGGTCGGCAGGCAGTTTGTTGACTTTGTACTTAGGCATATTTATTCCTTTAGAATAGTCTCTTGAGTGAAAACTGACCCAAAATAGTTAGCTATAGCCCCTGCTTCTTCCTGATCTTCCTCTTTCATTTCAGATCCACTCCCTTCTTTAATTAGGTTAAGAATCCAATGCTGCATCCCTGTTCTGTAATTTGTGTACGAGAACAGTCCCTTAGGCTGCTTGAGTGCAGATTGTGTCAAATGCATTTCATATTTTCTCTGAGCTTCCCGGATTTAATTTATACACCTCTTTCTTACCGACCTGTAGCGTTCCACCGTACGTGCTGTGACAAAGCTGATAGCAACAGTCGAGCATACCCTCTTTTGTCTCGGTAAACGTCGAATATCGTGCCTATTCAGAAATGGCCGTGCTTCTTCGTCATCTTTGGGATATAAAGTCGAGTTACCCGATAGTATAACTGTCTGAAATGAGTCCATGCCTCTTGTACTGATACCCTTGAGTCAATATCCCAGTTTTAAGCCGATGTCGCAGAGTTGATTGCCTCCATGTGTGCCTTCCATGTGTCAGGACGGGCCGGCGCAATTGTTTGACAGGTGATCTCAGCCATGAACTTAAATAAGAATACTGCATGATTGCTCCTCCTTAGAGGTGGTAGGAAAATCATTTGACCAGCATCATTACCGTATGTAACTCCGCCTGTAGCCCTTATAGGGTTATTGCAGGTCCCAAGCCCGGATAAAGGAGGAGTGTTGGGCATGAGGTTAGCGTCCCCATCCTGTAGAAAACTGACTCGCTAAAAAAACGCTAACCAGAAAAAATTATTCAAACCATTTAAACTCTGCCCTGGGAGTTAGAAGGTCTTCATTTAGAAGAATTATGATGCTTCATGGTGAAAGCCGAGTTCCTTCGGAAGCCACGAGGCCGATGCCCGTTCTAACAACCAGAGCAAAAATTTTTATAGGTACATGGAACGTTCGAACAATGTGGGAAACCGGGAAGACCAGTCAAATAGCAATGGAAATGAGGAGATACAACTTAGCAGTACTGGGAATCAGCGAAACCCACTGGACCCAAGCTGGACAGAAAAGGCTAGCTACGGGAGAGATGCTGCTACACTCCGGTCACTAAGAGGACAATGCTCCACACATATACAGCCTTCCTTCGAGATACTGAAAAACTCAATGAATTCAAGATAGCTCTCAACAACAGGTTCCAAGCCTTACAAGATCTACTGAAAGAAGAAGAAACTAGTATGGAGGACAACTGGAAAGGCATCAAGGAAGCATTAACTTCAACGTGTCAAGAGGTTCTGGGCCTAAAGAAACACCATCATAAGGAATGGATCTCTATAGAAACACTGGACAAGATCAAAGAAAGGAAGAACAAGAAGGCAGCAATTAACAACAGCCGAACACGAGCAGAGAAAGTCCAAGCACAAGCTGAATACATAGAAGCAAACAAACAAGTGAAGAGGAGCATTAGAGCCGACAAGAAGAAATACGTGGAAGAACTAGCAACGACGGCAGAAAAAGCTGCTAGAGAAGGAAATATGAAACAGCTTCACGATACAACGAAGAAACTAGCAGGGAAATACAGTAAACCAGAGAGGCCGGTCAAAGACAAAGAAGGCAAGCCAATCACCGAAATTCAACAACAGCGTAACAGATGGGTAGAATACTTCGAGGAACTCCTGAATAGGCCGGCTCCAATGAATCCACCGGACATCGAAGCAGCACACATAGATCTTCCTATAGATGTCAACCCACCAACGACGGAAGAAATTAGAATGGCCGTCAGACAAATCAAGAACGGGAAAGCAGCAGGACCCGACAACATACCAGCTGAAGCACTGAAATCAGACATCGAAGCAACCACAAGCATGCTGTACCTTCTATTCAAAAAGATTTGGGAGGAGGAACAAGTGCCGATGGACTGGAAAGAAGGACACCTCGTCAAGATTCCAAAGAAAGGAGATCTGAGCAAATGTGAAAACTACAGAGGCATTACACTACTGTCAATACCAGGGAAAGTCTTCAACAGAGTGTTGCTGAACCGGATGAAGGATGCAGTAGACGCCCAACTTCGAGATCAACAAGCTGGATTCCGTAAGGATCGGTCGTGCACAGACCAAATTGCAACACTACGGATCATCGTCGAACAATCAGTTGAGTGGAACTCATCACTATACATCAACTTCATTGATTATGAAAAGGCATTCGACAGTGTAGATAGGAGGACATTATGGAAACTTCTTCGACACTACGGAGTTCCTGAGAAGATTGTCAACATTATCCGGAACTCATACGACGGACTACAGTGCAAAGTAGTGCATGGAGGACAGCTGACAGATGCATTCCAAGTAAGGACTGGAGTCAGACAAGGCTGTTTACTCTCTCCCTTCCTCTTTCTTCTGGTGGTCGACTGGATTATGAAGACCTCGACATCTGAAGGAAAACACGGAATACAATGGACAACTCAGAATCAATTAGACGATTTGGACTTCGCAGACGACCTAGCCCTCCTATCACGTACACACGAACAGATGCAGATGAAGACAGCCAGTGTAGCAGCAGTCTCTGCATCAGTAGGCCTCAGCATACACAAAGGGAAAACCAAGGTCCTCAAATTCAAAGCGGAGAACAGCAATCCAATCACTCTTGATGGCGAAACTCTGGAAGATGTAGAGTCCTTCACATACCTAGGAAGCATCATCGATGAACAAGGAGGTTCAGATGCAGACGTAAAGGCGAGGATCGGCAAAGCAAGGGTCGCATTCCTACAATTGAAGAACATATGGAACTCAAAACAACTTTCAACCAATATCAAAGTGAGAATCTTCAATACGAACGTCAAGGCAGTTCTACTGTATGGAGCTGAAACTTGGAGAACTACAACAACCACAATCAAGAAAGTACAAGTATTTATAAATAGCTGTCTACGCAAGATACTCAACATCCATTGGCCGGATACCATCAGCAATAGCCTTCTGTGGGAGAGAACAAACCAACTTCCAGCTGAAGAAGAAATTAGGAAAAGACGATGGAAATGGATAGGACATACATTACGCAAATCGCCAAACTGCATCACGAGGCAAGCCCTAACTTGGAATCCTGAAGGGAAGCGAAAAAGAGGAAGGCCAAAGAACACATTGCGTCGGATTATAGAAGCAGATATGAAAAGGATAAATAGGAACTAGATGGAGCTAGAAAGGATTGCTTGGTACAGGGTTGGATGGCGAATGCTGGTGAGCGGCCTATGCTCCTTCACGAGGAGTAACAGGCGTAAGTAAGTAAGTAAGTAATTACCGTATGTGAAGGCTAAGGCCAATAGAAACTAAGAAATTCGTGAGTCATATCCGGTAGGATCTCTAATATGCCATAATAAAGCTAGGGCAATTGAAGTTTCTAACAGTTTGCAATCGAATGACGTTATTGATGACCCTACTTCTAAGTTTGCTTTAAGTTCCCACATGGCGATACCGAAGATCCATTTCCACCCGATATGGAGGCCGGTTAAGCGGAAGCTTCTTCTATTTTATCTGTATCTATTTTATCTGTGATTACATTTACGTCTTCAACGAGAGGGAAGGCGGAAATTTTGCCGTTCGAGGTCGTTTCAAGGTTATGTGCTAGTATGGCTGAAGGGAAGCTAAAAATCGGTTCTCGCGTTGAGGTGACAGGAAAGGATGTTGTTGGTACCATAGCATATATTGGAACAACACAGTTTTCTCCTGGTAGATTTCTAACCCATTTTTTATTTTGAATTCAGGAAAATGGGTAGGAGTGATACTGGAGGAGTCGAAGGGGAAAAACAATGGTACGGTCCAAGGGAAACGCTACTTTACTTGTGAAGAAAATCATGGGATCTTTGTGCGTCCATCTCAGGTTCGTCTCTAATATTTCGGGAGACTTACACGTATGCTGCCCAACTATGATTTAGTCCTTTAGTTCCCGAACATCTTAGCAGTCATTTCACAGGATATAGCTACTAAGGCAATATATCAATAAATTCGTTCTTTCATATATGTTTGGCCCTATTATTACCCTCCGCAAAGTCGTCACTGGGTAGCGTATTCCACATAATCGGTTATACTACTGTCAACATCACTACTTATCGATGACGTTTTGGCGTAAATAATTAAGATTTTAATCACCGCTGGGTATCAGTGCAGGTTGTTTAGGGAAGAATAGTTATGCTTTGTAGAATCCAAGAGAGGATAGATATTACTGGCTAAATCTGTGAGTCGGGATCAAGTGCGATAACTCGTGTTCTTTCGTATTCCACAACATTTCATGCTTTACTAATGTTCATTTGTTTTTATTTATTATTTTGTAGTTTCATTATGTTCGTTTTCTTTATTTCTGGAATATTTGACTTCCCAAGTTCAAACTAGTGTTGTTGCTTTGTTTGCTTGATTAACTGACTAAATTTTTTCGAAGGGTATCACACATCGATAAAATTCTTTATTAGGTATCAAAAATTCATTTAGCTTTCGTTGAAATTACTTCACTTATGATGCTTCAACTATTTTTTATGCATAAATGCTAGGTTTAATGTTTTCATTACGTGTTGCGACACCTAATGTTTGCCTCATGATATAACATGAGTTTGGGAATTCACATGCCATTCATTTCGATCCACCTATTATACCTTCATTCAATTGCAGATCTATTTAAAATATCTCAATTTGGTCATTTGAAGATAATGCTCTATCACTTCGTTATTGTTTAATGCTTTTTTCACTGATACCCCATTTTATGTGGTAGTAATTAATAAGGAGTGCTTTACCTCGTGTTTATGAGCTTGATATCTTAGTAGACTTTGTTATCGACTGAGGTTTACCATAGGATTCTGCAGACTCTCTGGAAAATCAGAACTGCATTCCACAAGTACCATGTTAGTGATGACGTCCCTTGTATGATGCTTGTCGATTAGGCTAACTGTTACTCATCTTTCCTCACATCTGACCATATTTTTTGAGTTATTTTCATAGACAATAATGTCGAGAGGTTTTTAAAAACACCAGTTTGTATACTGACAAGTTAATGGGAACACTAACATAAGGTGGACAGATCCGGGAAAATGCCTCTTCCTGTTTTGTTTTTTTTCATATTAAAGAATATATCTCATTGGTTTCGTATGTTTGTAATACTAGTTGTAGGACTTTCGTCAAGTAGATCCAGTAAAACCTTGTGATCCGGAGTTTTCGCTTTCAGTTCTGTCTACCAAAGATATTTATTAACAATGAACCGTAATGGTAGACAAAAGAGAAATACGTTACTTGACTTCATCACTAGTTTATTTATTTTACCTACAACTTCAGACTAACTTGCGAATACTTCTTAATTACATTTTCCTTACGAAGTTTCATAGTAAGTACTTCTACCTATTTCCTATTTGAAAACAGTAATGTATGGTTCATTTTCAAACGACAATCTGAATCACTAATTTTCCCACTTTCTTCATCCTTTAGCTTACTCTTCTAGATGATCAAGATGGATCAAGCACAATGGATGTATCTATTTCAAGTGTCCTTTCAGAATCAGGCACAACCTCAGAATCTAGTACATCTAGGTTATCATTAGGTGAAACTCCTAAACGTACGGGTTCTTCAACTTCTTTATCCAGCAGTTTAAAACCTGAAATGGCAAAAGGTATAACATTTTGCAGTCCATTTTTAAGATATTCTTTCAGAACTGGTTTCTCCGACCCTAATGCTATTGATAAATACTCTAGTTCGCTCTTTTATAAGTTAATATGTGATCGATATAAATATCCCATTACCCGTTACTAGTTTGATTCTGCCGTTGTTGCCAATCAAATATCCAGTGACCCAACTGCTAAATTACCTTACATTGTAGTACTCTGTCCTAGGATTGATTAATATACCAGGTATGTCTGTGTACCGGGCTCTAAATTACACAACATATTATTGAACCTGGTGCTTATTAATTAAAAGTGGAGCCTTTTAATCACTAAGAAACCGCTCCTCTTCACTTAATCCCAAATGAATTTTATTTCCTAAAAATACTAGAACTATTTATCGCACTTGTTAACAATGTCAGCGGGGTGTATTCGCTGTTTTAAAAGGGATAGTGCTTCTCCAGAAGTTCAACTAGCATCGCATCGTCAACCTTAACTACATATCTTAGAAACCGATATATATATATATATATATATATATATATATATATATATATATATCGATTTAAGCTACACTGTTGTCCACTTTAAAACATGGGACAATATAAAATTCCTGGCGGACTTATAAAATTCCTATCAATTGTTTCATTTGATGCTGTTGGATTGGTGGAGGGTTGATAAGTTTTTCAATGATACATAGAAGCTGTCATTCGCCGAAAGATCATGAAGAATGTACGAAAGCTATCGAAATTTATGTCTTTTTCAGGGTTTAGTGGCTTGAGATCTGACTCCAATTAGGTCATATAAATATTCGTTATTGAATGGTTGCTTTCGAAAGATATATGTCGCCTATCCTTAAGAGAGCTCCTCTAAACTCTATGTTCTGATATACGGCGTCGGCTCACATACCTTTTCCATCGCGCGTCATTTCGCCTCACTCTCTTCTCGTCGCTTCTCCGATATTTTGTCTGGATCAAAGTCTATGAAATATACATATTCAAAATCCATTGTAATGTTTGGCTTATTTAATTCCGTTATTCACTAACGCGAGTTAAGTCGATGATAATATACGAGGATTGACGATATGTATATCTCAATAGCAATCAGAGACAATCAAACTGGAGTCAGATCCCGGGCCACTTAAAGGGCTTTCTATAGTTACGCACTCGATTCTTTCTGGAATATTATCTATAATTTTCAGGCTTCGCAGCTAATACGCTTCTAATATGTGACTCATAACCTAGCACTCAAATTTTTAAACTCTTGCGATTGTTTCATGAAACCCAATTGTCCTTCAGGTATCTTAGTCAGTCACAACGTGGAAAGTGGTATGTATGTACATCAGTCCAAGTTGACACACTCCATTAACACTGATGAAATTTTCAGTCCGAATTTCAGGATAGTAGAGGTAGTAACGGTATGAGTGATTGAGAAAATTAAGCATCAAAGATACGACTTAAGAAAACATAAGTTAGTGAAATGAAAATACAGAAAAAATAGTTATGATGGATTCAGAAGGTTGGAATTCGAGGGGGGAAGAATGGATGCACCTACACCATTCCAAACGATTTTGATCCATATCATTCAAAGTCTCTAACCATTGGTTTCGATAATTATGCGGACGCCAACCAGGTGGTTTACATCTATTAACATGGCTTAGTCTACTTGTCAATGACTTTATGAACTTGTGCTAGGTTTTGATTTGTTCGCCGCTAGCTTTCTTCAGCAAGTATCTATCTTCAATGTTAACCTAGTCATCTCCCGTCAGTCGTGATTTTCTGTTTACTCCGTGAAATGACAAAGTTTCATGTAGGCAGCTATCAAATCTCAGTTCTGCGGTCGAGAAGTAAAATAGTCTCTTTGGAACACGAAAGCTCTGAGTTCGATGTCAAAATAAGTAAGCAGTGTGGAGTTCTGCTGGATTTTATCATTGTAACAAAACGGTTGTTGACTAGTCTCTCATTTTAAGTAGTTCTTCATGTCTGAGTTGCTTCAGACTTTTTAAAAATATTATTTCAATATTCTAAAAAGTTTTTTCTTTCCTTTTTTAACCCATCTACCACGAAATTCTAATATCATGCATCCACAGGACGAACTTTAAAATCACCAGCTCTCAAGCGCTCTTCTCTAGCTAGTTCAACACCATCAGTGAAGGATAAGCCTAATCTACCTGTCTCAACAGGGAGACGTACGTTCTGTTTTCGTTGAGTGCATGTTGAAAAAACGCGCATATTCATTAGCTCTAATCTTACATTATCTAACACACATAATATGCTTATAATTAACTCCTTAATCCTGATGACTAATATTTAAATGTGTATCCTGTCATAATTCTTCTATCTACACTACTATCCATTTATATTTTATAGGTCCACCTGAAATCAGAAAAGCGTCACAAGTAAGTATTTGTTTATTGTCGTTCAGTTTGTTTATCATGTTTTTTGCTTAAGAATTAAACGGTTTGACCAATTCCCTGGTTCGAATCCCGCTTACCTAGTTTGGCTTGGGCAGCTGGTTTGTGCGATTAGCTCTCATACTTAGATTGCGACTCATACCCACTCAGCTTATTACTTGAATACAATATAACTTAGTAGTTCATTTTTGTGGACACATTTGTAAATATTTGTTTAAAGTATAATTTTTTAAATTAAAACAAAGTATTCATATTATGATACATGAAGGTGCTTAGTTTCTACAGTAGTTGCCGAGAAACAAATAGTTGAACAGGATATAGGATCTGATCATGGTGTATATCTATTCAATTTGCAACACTAGCAGGAAAAGAAGTGAAAACTAACTAAAAGGGAAAGTTATTAATTAAAAATAGTAACGATGCTAATACGTTAGTGAATAAATACAAGAGAGGAAAAGACAGTAGAAACTAATGAAATTAAAAGATGAAATACATTTATAAATACTTCGTCTTATGCTAACATCTAATTAAGGGATTGATTTATTTGCTTTCTTTTTGCTTATTTTAAAACTTTTTTTTGGAAGAATAATCACATCATTCATTTTATTAAACCTCGGTAGATGAGGTCAACCTAGGCTTTTAGAACTTGCGCGAACTATTAGGCTATGCCTCCATATATTTTATTTTATTTTATACACATAAAATACGGTACCAATCGGCACCAAAGACGTTTACTCTGCACAAATCAATGGTTAAGTTGGAGAGGAATGGTGAGCTTTGGAAATCCTATCTTATCTTACTGGGGGGCCGGAACAATGAAGAGAGGTGGTCGTATTCCTTTGCTTCTCATGAAGTGTTTCCATATAAAACCTTGAATATGTTGCTAAAATCCTCAGGCTCACTATTAAAAAAACTCAGACTACAGTTCTGTCCAACGAATCAGAAACAGCCATAATATCTATAAAAATAACGTTTATTTGTCCTGCAGTCATTTTGGCGATGTTTTAGCATTTGACGTAACATGAAGATATAGTCAATTTATCCATGGTCAGAGTAAAATACGACTTACTCTTCACATGACAGTTTTTTACAGACATTTATATAAAGCATTATTACATTGTAACGAAAATTATCTGTCAAAAGGGTGTGGTTCTATTTCATATTTCAATAATATCACATGTTACCAATACAGCCCAATAGTACTCTAGTCATGGTCATTATATTTTCCTGTTCACTGCATATTAATCACAATCAATTAAATGAATTAGTTTGTTTACACACACTCACATACGACTTTTCTTTTGGATTACTTTTCACTCTTACTGAGTTCATGTGCTATTAAAGTAATCCTTATGTCTTGTTTTCTCACTAGCCTGCATTAAAGCGACCTAGTATGGTAAGATTGATTTTTTCTTCCTTAACAAAAACAACAACAGTACACTCAAAAGCTAATTGATGCGCTAATGAAAATCTGCTATATTTGACCTAAAAATCTTAAGGTTTTAAATTGTTTTATTTTGCAGTTTGGTAAATTGTAGCCGTTTTAACTTACTTACTTGCTCACTTACGCCTGTTACTCTTAGCTGTTTTAACGGATCAATATAAATGAAATCCTTTTTCCAAAATGTTAACAAGGGAATTCTTGATAGACTTTTTCTTACTATATAATTATTTCATTATCTTACATACTACAACGTAGAACCAGGCACATATATGCATCAGTCCAAGTTTCCATACCTCATTAACACAACAAGATGGACACCGGATTCATAAAAGTAGTTCATTCAGAGGTGGTAATATATAAAAGAAAGATTGCATATAAGGATATAGTACAGGAAGAAAGAATTAGTTCGTAGAAAGAAAGATATGAAGCAATTTTAATCTCTTAGTTTAAGGGAAGATAGAGAGTGTATACACCGACGCCATTGTGATCAATTCTGAGCCATGTCACCAAGAGTCTCCAACCATTGGTTACGATAGTCACGCGGACCCCAAACCAAGTAGTCTGCATCTACCAACATGGCTCAGACTAGAAGTTAGTGACTTCAAGCACTGGTGCCACGTTTTGGTTTGGCCGCCCCTAACTTTCTTCCAACCATCTCCAACACCGGTTAGCATTGCACTTCGTGGTAATCGGTGTTCAGGCATACGTAACACATGGCCCAACCATCTCAGTCGATGAAGATTCACAGCTTCATCAACTTATTTACCATCATTCCCTAATACCCTGTGTCTAATAGTGAGGTATAATACTTTTCTAACTGTTCTAATCATTGAAAAGATGTTTGTTATTAACTGTTTGACTAAATTAACTTATAACTTAGGGTATTAGTTGATACGATAAACAGAAGTCAATTTTAGTGATTCATTTTTAGAGAGAGAGATTAGTCCTGATATTCAAATCTTAATTTCATTGACACTTAAGTGGTCTATTTAAGTCTGTATCTTTCGATGGTTTCTGTCTCAATCGACTTCTAACGCTGCTTATATATTTATCTAATACTTTTTAAAATAATAATGCGATTTTACTAAAGTAGACGTTTGTTCTTCTGGTTAGGGATCATATATTCGATATCGGATCACTTAGGAGTTGGAAGAGTAGTTGTTTCAATAACCCAATCTCTTGATACAGCCACCAATCATCCATAACGTATGATTGTATTTGATCTATCGACTGGTATTCTGTTCGTTCATTTTAACAGTTATTGCGTTTTAAAATAACATTCAAATAATTATTCTTGATTTTATTTTTAATAACCTATCGTTGTATTTACTGTCTTATTTATAAATGTAAGTCATGGACATTTACTGTGGAAAACTAACTTATGTTCATCAGTGTATACCTTCCTGTGATTTTTCTTTCGTCATATGTTATGTATTGAATGAAAAATCCCCTAAAATTTCTCCCAAAACCTTTTCAAATCTTAATTTATAATATAAGTCAATACTTATAAAAGTTATAAGTCAATACTATTAATCGGTATATCAGTAGTCTATTCCATTCTTATATGATCCAAGGGTTATTTCCTAAGGATTAGTAACTCGTTTATTACAAATCTTCATTTTCATTAACTTGAAACAAATACTATTTATTTCTATTCAATACTACTTATTAATCTCATAATTAGTGTCTCTCTGAACAGCATTTTATGCTTTTCGAAGAATATACCTTCAGACAACGGTCGATTTATTCTAAATTAAGTGTTAATTACTGTTGGATGTTTAATCCATTACATTTTATTAGGTAAATATCTAATTAATAATCATTTTGTATTTTATAATTCTGCTCGCTTTTTTTAAGTCATACATTTATAACATGTTATTTATTTCTGATTAGTTGTATGTATGTATTTTTGTTCGATAATTGTATTTCTAGAATGTTTGATATACCACAACATATCTATACGATCGTCTAATCTTGTTTTACTAATCTATTTTTTACGTCTCCCATTCCATTCATTTGTCAAAAACATTAATATTCACTACTATTTTTACTTGCTTTATTTTTTCAAGATCTCATCAACTGGATCCAATCCAGATCTGGTACAAAGTAATGTAGCACCAATTTCGAAAAGTGAAAGTCCTCTCAACAAATCCACTGAAAGTAAACCTGTTAAAGAATCCATTCAACCTAGTGGTGATACATTGCCAAAAACCATTTCATCAACTATAAAAACAAGTGATCCAAACTACCGACTACTACTGATGGTAGCAAAATACCTGAAGTTTCAACTATTGCAGGAGCTAGTGATATTAAAATAATTTCACAAAAACTAGAGCTTGAAAATATATCCATTAAGCATAAAGACAGTTCTCATAAAATACCAAGATCGTCTGTTGTTAGTCCATCTGCCGTTGTATCAAGCGACGGTGGTGGTACTCACTCACCAGACACAGAATTGGAGCTAACTAATCTACGCGCCGAAATAACAACACTACATGATCAAATTGAAGCCTTAAAATGAAACGAGAAGAAGATAAAACCAGAATACAAGAATTAGAACGTATCAAGATTCAATTTACTCAACTAGAGGAAAATCGACGTTTAATGAGAGAACAAGCAGCTGAATTACAACGTGAAATTGCACAATTAAAAACAGTATGTTTTTCTTATTCTACCGATTGTAATGATTGTCTAGAATAGATTTAGTTTAGTATAAGGCTATCGAAAAGCGGTCATATCTACATATAAAAATGCTTACCCTTCCTTCTCCTATTATAATATGCTGTTGGTGTTAATTCATCAACTCGGTCATTTTGGTTTCTGACTAACTCGCTTTTAGTTTGGCCATCAAATGTGAACAGACGGCTCACTGAAGTTAAATCATTTATCTTTCGATCAATAACTTTTAAGGTGGCACGTCGCTCCGTCTACTGTTTCATCAATTCAATAATTTCCCCATTCCTCATATTTAAAATGAGGGGCTCCAATTATCCTGGATTTTGCGTGTGGTGCGGGACCTTAGTTGTTAAAATGTTCGGTTTTAAAACTGTCCTTCTGAGGTTCCCATTCTGGTTCACCCCCTTTGGTTTGGAGAGCCAGATAGTAGCACTAACCTTCACACTAACTGTGACGCTAAACAGAGCATGTCAACCTATACTTGGTAAATATGTTTTGGCAAACCTTGTTTTTAGTTTCTGAGCCGCATTAATTTAATGTATTTTGGGTATTAGATCGATGTCGTTAGGTTAATCACACAGTAGTAGTAATTAGAACTTCCTAGAACACTGTATTAATAAGACACTGGTTATCAAATGTCATAAATATCACTTAAACCTTATGTATGATCTCAGGGTGCCACTAAAAACCAGAGAGAACTAGAAAGCTTTTTCATCCTGGTATAGGACTCCTCAGTCGAGTAAACTCGGGATATATAGGTATTTTGTTCGGCTTGACCGTTGTTGCTACCTTGACATGGTAGTCGGGCTTGTCTATCGTGATGAACTAATCGAGCTATACCGGCTGGAACAATCGTTCTTCAAGGTCCTACCATGCCAGACAATCCGGTTGACGAACTGTATGACTAAAAGCAATAAACCCAAGGTTGAAGGGCGAAGTCTTACTGCTGACTGTACAGAGGTGTGACGTCAGTAAGGTGTTTGCTTCAGACAAGCAGTATAAAAGCGATGCTGTCTTCCCACAAGGAGTAGTGGGGTTAGAAAAGGTCGACCCTAGAAATCCACACTTCACCTTATCCCACGGATATCCGTCTCCGACGGTAAGGTCTCAAAAAGTATGGAGCAAACACAAGACTTACCCACAAAAAGATCGTGTGTGACCGACCTCAAGCAGTTGTCCCTTGGACACTGCGGTCATGATCTCAGGTCACCAAGACCACCTCTAACCCGATTTCCTTTATAGGTACCTGCAGAAGAGCCCTTCCACGGTGTGGAAAACCGGGAAGTGATAACCGCTCTCATACCTCTAACAGCAGTCAATCACTGATTTGGTTCGAACACTAAACCACTGAGTCGGTTCGATGACACGATTTCTATTACGGCCTAATGAAACAGTTGTCCAATGTGTACTCAATGGTTTTCATGATTATTCTTATTCAAATCAATCTATGACAATTACAATTTACAAATTAAATTGGTATTCACAAAACCCTTCTAACTAGTGATAATTTTGTAGGTATCATTACCAAGATTTGACTTGATAATTTCGAATAAATTGAGCATTGGGTAGATTGTCATAAATAAATCAATATATTTGTAATATCCCAATGTTAATTTTCTTTATTTATAAAAAAAACAAAATAAAGGAAAAGGCTGAAATTAAAGAAGCATTTGATCGTTATCGTGATGAAGTAGCTGAAATGGTTGAAAGTGTGGAAATGGCTACATTAGATAAAGAAATGGCAGAAGAAAAATTAGAATCATTAACTACAGAAATTGAATTATTAAAAGAACAAGTAGAAGAATTGACACTTGAAAATCAAATTTTAAAAGAAGAATCTGAAGAGAAAGGTTAGTTTGTTCATATATATTACTTATAATTAGTATTTTATGAAGATGGCTGGAGTTGTTTTGAGTTACCTTAAAAATGTTACTTATAATTTTAATTAAGAAAGATGAGTTCAGTGAAGAGTTCCCTTTTCGGCGAATTCATTTTCAAAGCTGTACAATTGCACACGTATATATACTTATCGTACAGGATGATAATAATGCTGATAATAAACTTTTGTTAGACATGTTGACAGTGAGGTTGAATAAACATAGTTATTAAAAATTCTTTTAAAAACAAGGAAAGTTTAACAATCGTTTGATTGTTAATGGCTTAAGTATTCATCAAAGGATAGATAGGGAAATTATCATTGGGAAAGGATAGCTCAGCATGATAAGATAAATATTAAAATTGAGATTAAATGTAATGAGGATGATCGTGGAAACAAAACGAACCAGTTGGGGGTAAAAAATTTAAGGGGAAGATGGAGGGTGGAGCATATGGTTGTGAAAGAAGAAGAGTATGAATAAAGAGGAAAATAAAAATTATAAGGCATCAAGACCATGGTAGAAAAAGAGGTTGTACCAGTCGCTTTTGCACACACAATTCTGGTCTTTCCAGATGTATGGCTAATTCTTCAGCAATGCAAAGAAGATGCAATCTAATTGTTTTTGGGAGACTTCTACTTACCTTGTAGATGACTTTGAACCCAGAGTCTGTCTTGATTGAGTGACCTGTATTCACAAGGTGTTCGATTACTGAGCTTCTTATTGAACCTCTTCCTCCTCTTTTCAGCCATGCCGGACAATGTTCTTGAATTCTTTTGGATAAAGTACGCATCGAACGACCTATATACCTAGCTCCACATGGATAAACGCACATTGAGTTGGTCAGGTGCGATAATTTATCTTTAAGATTATTGGTGAACAGTGATATCGGCTGGAGAATACTAATCGCAATGTTGTTGCGAGAAATGTTCTTTTTAAAGAATCGGAAATTCTCCTTTTTAGGGTGTGTGTGGCTCTGTCACCCTTGAATTCGACGTTCATATATAAAGTTTTCTTTTCTACCGTAGTTATCTGTGTTTCAGCGTTTTCGGCTTTATGTTCTTGTCAATGAATATCGAAGGATATTCGTTCTTAATAAGTATGTCCTTCAAGTGGCCCAGCTCTTCATTTATGACTTCGTGACTACAGATTCGTCGTATTCTTGTTGCGAGTGTTATTATTAAGTTTCTTTTTCGACTAATGGGGACCCAGCTGTGGAAACTTGATAGTTGGTCATTCCACTTATAATTTTGTTAAATAATCAGAAAACTGACACTTCGGAATTGTTGTAGTTTTTGATCAATAAATTTCACCGATATTCACGACTTCATCTTCTGTCAGTTGGGTACACAACAGTCTGCGAAGTCATTGTTTATTATTATTTTATTTGAACACATGAATATTGGTACAAGAGAGCGCCAATATATATGCGCCACACAAAACAATGAGAATTCGAAGAGAAATAGAAAGAAAAAAAACTAAGGAGCGCAAAAGAAAAAGAGAACAATAACGAAGAGATTGGTGTAAGGTAGTGTGGTAGTAACGACGGAACGGAAAGGTACAATCAGAAGAAATCTTTCAGGTAAGGGAGACACAACCACTTTTTATGAAGAAAGTAAAAGAAGGTTACAGCAGGATCGCCACTGGCTTCTATTCTGAGCCATATCTGATAACGTCTCTAGCCACTGTGTAGCACCATCTCTCGGACCCCAACCAGGGAGTCGTGAAGGACCAACACAAGCCAGTCCTTTGCAGCTTTCTTTCATGCCACGACACCATGTCATGCACTGACCACCTCTCCGCTTCTTCCAACCAGTCCCAGAGTCGGCAAATAATGCACGACGTGGAATTCTCTGGGACGACATTCGGAGAACATGTCCAAGCCACCGAAGTCGGTGTTTCAAGATGGTGACACCAATTGAATTATCATCTCTGTGCCCGAACACACGATGCCGAACCTCTGCATTACTGACATGGTGTTGCCACTGAATGTCAGCAATCCTTCGGAGACAGCGATGATCGAACACAGAGAGTCGTCTAACGTCCTCAACTCGGAGAGGCCAGGTTTCACAAGCATAGAGCAAAACTGCTCTCACCGACGCGTTGTAGATCCGACCTTTTACAGCCAGACTAACATCACGAAGGCGCCAAAGGTGGCCCAGATTGGCATAAGCCGCTCTGGCTTTCACTATTCGTGCATTGATCTCATCACTCACACCCCCACCAGCACTTATGCAGCTACCCAGATACACGAACTTCTCAACTACGTCTATCTGCTCACCGTCCAGGGTGAGTACAGGATTAGAATCCTGCCAGTCTTGTAGAAGTACTTTGCACTTCGAAGGTGCAAAGCACATACCATACCTACGGACACTGATTGCCAACTGATTAAGTGCGGATTGCATGCCTTGGGCATTATCGCACAGTAAGACAATATCGTCCGCATACTCAAGGTCGAGAAGTCTTTCTCCAGGCAACAGATCCACACCACCATTACTTACATTCATCAGAGCTGTTTCCAGAATGTCATCGATGGCAAAGTTGAAGAGGAATGGTGAGATTGGGCAACCCTGCCTAACCCCACTGCTCGAATGGAACAATGGAGAGAGGTGGTTGTATGCCCTCACTCTGCCTGAGGTGTTTTTATATAGGGCTTTTAGGATGTTAATAAACTTCTCAGGCACACCCTTCTTCAATAGACAATCCCAGAGAACAGTCCTGTCCAACGAATCGAAGGCAGCCCTGATGTCAAGAAACACTACGATTGTTGGCCTTTGAAAGTATGGCGGTGTTCTAACATTTGGCGGAGGGTGAAGATATGATCAATACATCCTCGACCAGAACGAAACCCAGCCTGCTCCTCGCGAGTCAATCTTTCTCGGGTTTTGAACAACCTACGAAGAATGACGGAAGCCAATAGCTTGGACGCAATCGGAAGTAACTTATCCCCCGATAGTTGTTACAGGAACGACGTGAACCCTTTTTAAAGATAGGGACAACTATCGACTCATTCCATGACGTTGGTACACTCTCTAGTTCCCAAACCTTTGTAAACAACGTCGTCAATTCCTTAGTCAAAAAGTCACCACCATCTTTAAAAAGAGCCGGAGGTAAGTCATCTGGGCCAGGTGATTTGTAACGCTTCAAGAGTTGGAGTTCCTTGCGGACTTCCTCCTCGTTTGGTGGATCAGTCGTCACCGGCCATGGAGGGCAGGACAGTCTGACCGATGTTGCCGGAGCAGCAGGCCAGTTGAACTGCCCTTCGAAAAATTCTGCCCATCGTCCAAGACGTCGATGGATGTTAGTGATTGGCATCCCATCATCCTCGCAGATTGTTTCACTCACACCAGACTTCTTGCTGCCAGTGGCTCGGATGAGCTGGAAGAGCTTCCGGTAGTTACCAGATGCAGCTGCTGCTTCCAGCTCATTAGCACGCATCGACCACCAGGCTTCTCGGTCCTTACGCAAGCTTTGCCCAATTTCCTTACGTAACATCCTTCGTTTATGGTCAAACTCACGGTCACCCGGAGTAGACCGACGGGCTTCAATGAGTTGTAAGGAACCAGAAGAAACCCAGTGCTTAAAGCGGGACGTTTCGCAAACCCACAACTGACTGTTCCCGCCATTTTCATGGCGTCATGCAATTGCAACCAATGCTCATCTATACTTTTCGGTGGAGTGGTAGCTAGCCTAGAGGCTAGCTCGGTTCGATACTTACTTGCAACAGAAGTTGCAACCAGCTTGCTAACATCAATCCGTTGATGGCGTCACTTCGTTGTCCACTGAAAAGTAAGGCAAGATTGGCGCAGACCAAGGCATGGTCAGAGTCCAGATAGGTACTCCAAAAGGAGCGGCAGTCTTGTACACAACCACGCCAGCGGTAGCTGATCGCGATGTGATCAATCTGAGTCCAGGCTTGAGATGCAGAGGGAGGACGCCAGGTGGCACATCGGCGATGACTGTGCCGAAAGTTAGTGCTAGCCAGAAACAGGTTGTGGTCTGTGCAAAGTTGCAGTAGACGGTCCCCGTTATCTGACCTGCGACCAACGAGTCCCCATCGGCCACCTAAACGACTCTCTTCTGTGCCTAGACGCCCGACCTGAGCATTCAAGTCTCCGGCTAGTACTACAATATCTGTCGAACGCACTTTCTGGAGAAGAACAGATAACTGGTGGTAAAACTCATCCTTGATTGCATCCGGGCTGCAATCTGTCGGGGCATAGGCGGAGATGACGAAAAGACATCGTTTCTCACGCCGATTTCTTCTCACTTTGATGGAACTTTCTAATCTAACAGCACATAACCGACTGTTAATGGGGATCCAATCGACTAGTGCTGCCTCAGCTCTAGCGCTTAGTGCGACACCAACGCCAGCAAGACCAGACGAAGATGCCACAGGGTCCCCGGATAAGCGCACGTAAAACAAGCTTTTCGAAGCGACAGATGGAGATCGAATTTGTAGTACTTCGCCAGAGTCTTGAATACGGGTCTCGGATAGACAACAACATCGATATTAAGACTTTCCAAAGACATAGCCAGCCCTATCTGTTGTCCGACCTGCATAAATGTGCGAACGTTGAAGGCAGCCAGTTTGAATGGTGCACGTGGTTTCAGAAAAACTGCTTCAGTCCTCGTATTCGGTGGTAACATACAATTTTCAACCGGACAGTGACTCGAGAACGTTTAGATACAGTCGAATTTCCACCAAAGACGAGCCGCTGTATAAGTATAAAAGAGGGTGAATAATGTGGAAAATAATAATAATAATAATGACAATAATAGTAATAATAATAATAGTATTAATAATGACAATAATTGTAATGATAATAATTTGAATCAATTGATTGTTTTTCAAAGCGAGAAAAGTAATTTCCATAGACATAAAGAGTTCATCATTTGTGTGTGGGCTGTGATACTGCCCGGGTGCCCAAACCGAAGCAGGTGGTTATCTTAGGGGGCCACTCCCCGAGCCTTTGACCTAAAGGTCTAACCCACAAGGCAGTGGAGCATCGTAAGGAGATGCAGTCCCATGGTAGCCGGTGACCAACGATTGGTTCATACGCCATTTGTTCCCGCAGGATACTGGAGCCCATGTGCACCATTGATTTGGAATCCGGTTAAAGCGCCGGACATTCGCTTTTCGTCCTCTCATTTTCGTAAACAACACCCCCGCCACGAGAAGGCAATGAGTAGGACTTCCCTGGCAGAGGCTGTATACGCGTGGCCGTGTGAGAGTATTTCGAGAGGGAGAGCGGACTCTCCCCACTCTCGGCCGTACCAGGGCATTCGGGGGCGTGAAGTCATTGACTACTCAACTAGTCCATATTAGTAGATTTAGATTAACCTCGTTGGACCTCGTGCAGGTATCAACATCAGTGGTTAGAGACGTTGAGTCCTATGATATAAATTCGATTTCTGTGATGAACATATATTCAATTTTTATCTTTCCTTAGATTGAATTTTAAAAGTATTCTATACCATTTTATGCTGAAAGTTCATTCATCCTTCGTGAATTATATTCTCTATCTCTAATGCTTCATTGTTACCATACACTATTACTATTATCAAAATCGACAAATTCAAATCAGAGCGCGAAGTTTGACTGAATCATTTTGTATGACGGTAGTAAGGTCTTTCCCTTAGGCAACCAGCATGTGCAACGATTCTGCTTTCGCACACCAAAAGATGGGACTAGCAAATGTTTGATTTAAATATAGCATGTCTCGCCTTGGCAGAATAATTTCTGGTAAGGCTTTAAAAGTACGGACCTGACACATCTGAAGCTACTTACGAAAAGGCCTTAGGTACTGGTTTCAAGCAGCTGTCTTTCGGGCTGTGCAATCATGCTTCCAGGTCGGTAAAACTATTAATGATCGAGTCTTTTTCAGGTACTCCGACATCGAGTAACAACCTTTCAATCAATTCAAACGGCACTCGAGATTATCGTGCTGTTATATCCAGATGACATTAGTAGAGGATCGGCTCCATATCATAGGTTAACATAGTTTAGAAATGGTTTTGATTATGACCCGGTTCAACAGCCTAATGTCTTCGTATTTGCGTCGAAGGTTTTTGTTTATAAAAAAAATGTAGGGCCAGGAGCAAATGTCTAGTCAGGCAAAATTGCCATATTACAGTAAAAATTTGTCAATGTGAATTCCGAAGCAATTTAGTATCAGTGATAACAATCAAACATTAAGTATAGGGAATATAATTCACGAAGCATGAATGAATTCTCAGAATTAAACGGTATAAAATACTTTTGAAACTAATAGTCTAATTAAAGATAAGGACTAAGTATATCTGCATCATGGCGATCAATTATGTGCCATTTATGTGCCACAACGTTTCCAGTCGTTAATCACAACAATCGCACGGACCTTAACTACTCGAATTTCTGGTATTATACTTTGTGGTTATGCCGTCAGTACACATTGTATAGAACGAAAAATCTGTCAATACCCCTGTCGTTTTAAGTGGTTTTTAAGCTTATGTTCATTGATGTAAAAAGTCGTCTCCAAACTTAGTGAATTAACACACACACATCAATTTCCGTATAAAATAACTATCTAGTCTAAAATTAATCATTTACTACTGTGTATAAAACTTTGCATGTTTTCGCACTATTTTGTCACGTCAATTGATCACCTCTACCCTTTGTTATAACCCTTTGTCTTTATCTCCAATTGTCAAATCAATCGTTACGCAACTTTTGCAGTCCCTAATAAGCACAAGTCTCCAGTTAATTATTAATATCGACTATTTAGGTTGGGACTTTTTAAAAGTATGTTCAAATCGCTTTTAATATTCAGTTCAACATATTTCCTTAATTAGTGATATAACTTTCAACGAGTTTTGGATTTGTACATTTAACCATGTGGAGACGTTTGCTAATCTCAATGAATAAAGTGATATTATACCACTTATCTGCAAGGTACTCATATATATTTTCATAGTTTCGATAAACTTGATTCTTTTTTTAAACACCGACAGGAGGAGCAACCACTTTACCTGGTGCAGATGGTGGACCAACTCCATTACAATTGAAAAATCTTGAACAACAAAATGAACGAATGAAACAAGCACTTGTTAAACTAAGAGATTTAACTAATCAAGATAAACAAGAAATAACTGCTTTAACTAAACAAGTAAGTTAACTCTTTGTGTGAATTAAATTCAACCATACAATATCTCATGGTGATTTAGTTAGTTGTAAAACTTATGGTTCATTTAACCCAATGACTTCAAATAAAATCTCACATTATAAGGTTACGTGTTTTTTTTTCTTCGAAATCCACTCTACATACTCTATTTGCAAACAGTTGATAGCTTTGCGTCCAGTGCTCTCTGGTTTCATTCATTGACTCATGACTTAAACTTCATAGCCCGTTTCAAAGGAATCTTTCTTAAACCAACTAATACTCAGTTATATCACTTTTCCTAAATTAAATAACTGCCATTACACTAAAATATTTTGTAAATTCTTTTGAATAAGTGACTTTTTTCAATATATTTGGTATGATATTAGCAGTAGTATCCAAAATATGAGTTTCATATCGGTTTGGAACTCATCAGCTTGATGTTACGTCATCCCCTCCCCCTTAGTGTTGATGTCCACACTAGGACTTGAACAAGAAATTACAAACTCTTACTAATAAATTACTTCATGTATCTTAAAGTTTCTTTGTTTCTCTTCCTTATTGTGATAGATTACATCTTTGGAATCTGAAATTAATCAACTTCAAACAGAGAAAGAACGTCTAACTAACGATTTAAAAGAAAGTATTGAACAAACTATTGAATTGAAAGAACAAGTAGACGCTTCACTTGGTGCTGATACAATGGTTAGTCAGTTGACACAACGTAATCTAGAATTGGAAGAAATGCTTGAAAAAGTTAAAGAGGAAAGAAATGATTTGGTAAGTGTATATGTATCTATACATGACTTTAGTTCAATTTTAATTTTGGTCATTGAGTTGGCTTTCATTAGTTTTTCCATTGATATACAACACAAATAAATAATATGTTTAATTTACCCACAAAAATGATATTTTATACTCTAAACTATTATCTGTTTCAAATTAATAGTTACAGGGTGTAGTCGTTTACAGCTTCTACCTGAATTACGCGTCCATGCAGAATTTATGCAAGCTCATTAAATAACATTACTCACACCTAGAGTGACTCCGATATTGACCATGTAGGTTATAACTTTTGGGCAGATAGATAAATGAGTTGATTTTATCTCAGTGAGACTTACATTTTCATTATCACGAATAGTGTTAGTATATTGTGTAGTTCGATAGGTTATGTCTCGTTTGCTTACTACATCAGGTTATATGTGTACAAACAACAAAAATTTATTCATCTTATTGGGTGATTTTATGCAGTTATCTATGTTGTCTTACATAAAAATTATAACATAAAATTTTTCATAGATAGAATTTGGGACGATGGCTTAATGGTTATTACATCCGGTTTTTATCAAAATGAAAAAAATTCAGAACTTCGGTTCTGAAATACTTCATCCACTTCAACAGACAGAAAATATATACATAAGCTCAAAACTACAAATAATCTCTGCATATACCTATAAACCTATTCAACAACGTTGATTAGAACTCTATCGAAAATTGTATTACAACTTAATTATATCTCTTTCTCAAGTTTAGGAGTTCACACAACCGATCTGTCTAGATTTCAGTTGCTAATTGAATAACAGTTTAATACTTAATTGTTACACATAAAATACGTTGTGAAACCTTATTCTCTCATCCATGTGTTAAGATATATATCTTAGCTGGTTACCATTGCAACAGTAAACATTTTAAATCCAAAATAATACAATAGCCCTATTCCATAGCATTGTGAATTGTTTGTTTTAAGAGGGCTAATGCCATTAAGATGTTGCCTCATTCGCATCAAATTACAGAAACTGATTGCTAGTGAAACATTTAATAAAAGAAATCCATTGATGATTTATCTTAAATGACTAGTTTCATTGTATAATTTCGTAATGAATTAGTTTTTTAATTATTCCAACTACGTACATTTTGTGTCACCTGAGATATTCATTTATTTTGGTGGAGTTTTGTTCTGTAAGCTCGATGATTTGGTTGTGGAGCTTTCATCGTTCTTCTAAATGACATTATTATTATTATTATTTACTTATTTATTTGTTTGAACACATAGATATTGGTACAAGGGGGCACCAGATACATATGTGCCACACAAATCTCATTTGATTTGTGTGAGGGCTGTAATACTACTCGGGTGCCCAAACCGAAGCAGGTGGTTTTCTTAGGGAGCCACACCCTGAACCTTTGACCTAATGGTCTGATCCACAAGGCAGTGGAGCGACGTAAGGAGATGCAGTCCCATGGTAGCTGGTGACCAACGATCGGTTCATACGCCATTTGTTCCTTCAGGATACTGGAGTCCATGTGCACCATTCGTTCGGAATTAGGGTTTTCCAACTCCCCTAGTTGGACTCTCCATGTCCACCAACCCGGTCAAAGCGCCGGACATTCGTTTTTCATCCTCTCAACTTCGTAAACAACACCCGGGTTGCGAGAAGGTAGTGATTAGGACTTCCCTGGCCTAGGCTATATACGCGTAGCCATGCGAGAGCATTTCGAGAGGGAGCGCGGACTCTCCCTACTCTTGGCCGTACCAGGGCATTTGGGGGCAACGAATGACTTCAGCAGCAGCACAAACTTCAAGTAGAAGTGAAGTGTTCGAACTTCTCTACATATGACTCGCAGCTTGCCCTGTAGAACTCAGTCTTGATTGGTTATTGTTAACTTTTAACCTGTCATTGTTTACTTTTTTATCTTGATTGTATCTCCGATTGATTTGATTCTTGGTCCTACATTTGTCCATAATTTTTCTAATTGGTTGATAAATTGGATCGGTTTCAATGTGTTTGTTGATTGCTGACTGACCTGAGTGCCAAGCTTTTAAAAATCCTCTGGCGTTGTTAGAATACCCTCTATCTAAGATCTCAACATTTTCCCAGCCTAATGTGTGTCCACAGTTGTCCACATGCATTGAAATAAGTGAGGATATATCATGGCGCTTGAACGCGAATTGACGTTTGTGCAGGCGAAGATGAAGGTGTCAATTTTGTTCGACGTAGTGTTTTTCACAGCTGGAACAATTTATTTTGTAGATGGTGTTCAGTTTTCTTCCTTTGTCATCTCATCCTTTGATTTGCATAGGATTGATTAAAAACATTATCATAAATCTGAAATGTTGTGAAAAGCAATATTTAGCGTTGTAGATATAACTTGTTACACTCCTTATTTTGTATTCTTCCTTTTTTCTAAAATAGGAAATACTATGTGAAATGAATGATGAATTACAAGAGAATAGTCGTGAAACTGAGCTTGAACTTCGTGAAGAAATTGAACGAGCCAATACACAAATAAATCAACTTGTACGTCATCTAGATGCTACACGCGAAACCATTGCAGATTATGAACAAACATTAGGTAAATTTAGAGATTTAGTCGCCGATTTACAAACTCAAAATTCTGATCTTCAACGATCACTAGCTGATGGAAAACGTTTACAGGAACAACAACAACAACTACATTCAACAGTTGCAACAGAATTTGCTAGTTCTGCAGTTCCATTTATGGCAACCAAGTTAGGTGCCACTTCTCAGGCACAAACTCTTGCTAAAGTAATTATTTGTTATTATCACCATGGTTCTTGTTAATACAATGTTATTATGTTAACATTCATTTTAGTTACTCATCGGCATCGACTGGGGAACTAAACCGAACGAGTTACAACTAGTAGTTGTTTTTTTCTTGGCAGCGCGTACCTGTGACTCTGCTACTAATCTCACTCAGGAATCTTTGGCTCCGCTACAAGCTCGTAGTGGACCATTAGTAGAGCAATGGTTTAATCGTCAAAGTCTTTGACTTTCAACCACTAGGTCATAGGTTTGTATCCTCTTCATTCTGTTTGTGTGTGGGCTATGGTACTTCTCGGGTGCCCAGACCGAAACAGGTGGTTTTCTTAGGGAGCCACACCCCGAGCCTTTGACCTAAAGGTCTAACCCACAAGGAAGTGGAGCATCGTGAGGAGATGCAGTTCCATGGTGGCCGGTGACCAGCGATTGGTTCATACACCATTTGTTCCTTCAGGATGCTGGAGTCCATGTGCACGATTGGTTTGGGATCCAGTTAAAGCGCCAGAAATTCGCTTTTCGTCCTCTCATTTTCATATCCTCTTCAACTACCTCGGTTTTGGCGGTCATGTACCAGTAACCCTCAAACATAAACTGTGACTCAAAGTTGAGTATATGGATCTGTACTTGGTAACCTACGTATTCGTCGCTTGATTACTATGTGAAAATCCTGTCATATGCATCTTTATAAACCTTTTAGTCATGCATATATTATCGTCAAATACTGTCGTTGATATCAAGCATCACAGATTCCAAAAATCTCAAATGCAACAAACTAGTATTGATTTCAGTTGTAGAACAAGTTCAATTGAAGTCTATCTTTTCAGTTACCTTCACTATTGAATTGTCTGTTCGTGATGAAAACCCTAAATCTAATTTCTAACCTTAGCCATCAGCCGTAAATCGTAATCCTAATTTCTCACACTGGTGTATAACCCTCATTCAACACTAGTAAGTAGGTGAACATTTCCAAGGGCATTTTAGTGTCGCTTAAAGACCTTTCATAAATTATATTCCCGCCTATTCATTTAGAAAATCAGTATTGATGTTTTCATTGAAATATAATTTTCTGTCAGTTATATCATTTCGTTAATATCATTCCTGTTATTCACCAAAATCTTTCAACTTAACTAACTCTTCTTAATATTGATTACGTGCAATCCTGCCATCGTAATTATTTTTTATACTAAAATCATTATACTTCAGCAGTGTATTCAACTTCCTACTCACTCTTTTGTATTATTTTTTTTATCTTTATTGAAAAGGTGATTGAAGCTGAATTGAGACGTCTTGAAGCAGAACAAAGTGCAAATCATGTAACTCGTTTATCTGCTTTTCTTCCGGATTCATTTTTACGACGTGGTGGTGATAATGAAGCATTATTAGCTCTTCTCTTAATCGATCGTCTAACTGGAAAGTGTGACCTATTAGCTAACCATGTAAGTAGTTAGTGTGTTATCCAAAAATAGTGCACTTTAATTTTGGTGTACTTATTTTTACTCAAGCACTATTGATGTCCCTACTGGAATGTCTCATAAATATATCGTGTATTGGAGTTAGATCTGACCTCATGTTGAATGAGAGAGTAATTATCCTTCACCCCTCTATACACGTTATATTTATATGGGTTAACCAATAATTTATGATAGTTCAACTAATAAAGCAGAAGCATAGCCTATCAAAGGAGTCAGTCAGTCAGTCAGCTACAACGTAGGACCAGGCACATGTATGCATCGGCCCAGGTTGCCATACCTCATTAGCACAGCAAGATGAACACTGGATTCATAGGAGTGGTTAGGTCAAAGGTGGTAATATATAGGAGAAAGATTGCAATAAGGATATAGTATAGGAAGAAAGAATTAGTTCGTAGAAAGAAAGATGTGAAGTGATCTTAATCTCTTAGTTTAAGAGAAGACAGAGAGTGTATACACCGACGCCATTGTGATCGATTCTGAGCCATGTCACCAAGGGTCTCCAACCATTGGTTACGAAAGTCACGCGGACCCCAACCAAGTAGTCTGCATCTACCAACATGGCTCAGACTAGAAGTTAGTGACTTCAGGCACTGATGCCACGTTTTGGTTTGGCCGCCCCTAACTTTCTTCCAACCATCCCCTACACCGGTTAGCATTGCACGTCGCGGTAATCGGTGTTCAGGCATACGTAATACGTGGCCCAACCATCTCAGTCGATGAAGATTCATAACCTCATCAACTGATTTACCATCATTCCCTAATACCCTGCGTCTAACCTCACTATTACTTACCCGGTGATCCCAGCAGATGCCAGCAATATTTCTAAGGCATCTGTGGTCAAATACTAGTAGCTTACGGGTGTCTTCTACTCTTAAGGGCCATGTTTCGCTGCCGTAAATTAAAACAGAACGGACTGCCGCGCAGTATACTCGTCCTTTTATTGATAGACGGATATCTCGCCTCCGCCAAAGGTGACGTAAGTTGGCAAAAGCCAAACGAGCTTTACGAATCCGTGCTGAGATTTCGTCAGACACCAACCCATTAGGGCTGATCAGACTTCCAAGATAAGTGAAGTTGTCAACGTGTTCGACTACTTCACTCCCTATCCTTAGTTCAGGTGTTGACGCAGACCAGTCCTGAAGCAACAACTTGCATTTAGAGGGAGAGAAGCGCATCCCAAACATTCTGGCATTGTTGCTTAGTGCTACCAGAAGACTCTGCATTTTGTCAGCGTCTTCACCAAACAGGACTATGTCATCTGCATATTCTAAGTCGATAAGTGGACCTCCTGGAAGGAGATCAATACCCGAGAATTCAGTCGACGAGAGTGTTATTTCCATCAATAGGTCTATGATGAAGTTAAACAAAAATGGAGAAAGTGGGCAGCCTTGACGGACACCACTTGAGGTTGCAAAGGTAGATGACAGTTCGCCATAAGCCCTGACTCGACTAGTAGTGTTCGAGTAAAGAGCCTTCACAAGGTTTATGTACTTCTGAGGTACGCCTTTCAATGACAGACACTGCCACAGAGTCTCGCGGTCTACAGAGTCAAATGCTGCTTTTAAGTCAAGAAAGACCACCATCGTCGGACGCCGATAGGTATGCCTGTGTTCTAGAACCTGACGAATGGTGAATATGTGGTCGATGCAGCCACGACCAGGTCTAAAGCCAGCTTGGTTCTCTCGTGTTTGTAGTTCACGAGTCTTAGTTAGGCGTTTGATAATTATCGAGGCCAGTATTTTAGATACTATGTTTGTTAAACTAATCCCTCTGTGGTTGTCACAGGATGATTTTGACCCTTTCTTATATATTGGGACGATAAGTGATTGCGACCAGTCAGATGGGATAACGTCTAACTCCCAGATTTTAGCCAAAATATTAGTCAACCTAGTCGCTAAAATTGGACCACCATCCTTAAAGACTTCTGGAGCCAGTCCATCTGGACCAGCTGCCCTTCCTCGTTTCAGATTAACTATAGCCTTCTCAACTTCAGCAAGAGTTGGGGGACCTACTTCAATGTTCCATTCACTCTGTCTGGGAATGGAGGGTAGTTGTAGAGTAGCTGAAGGCCAGCTGAACTGTTCTCTAAAATGTTCCGCCCATCGTTCTAAACGTCTGGACTGGGAGCAGATGAGAGTATCATCTTTTTCCGAAATAATCTCACTTACACTTGACTTATTAGTTCCAGTTTCTTTTATTAGTCTGTAAAGCTGTCTTGTGTTCCCTATAGTCGCCGCCTTTTCCATCTCTTTTGCTTTCGTTACCCACCACTGCTCACGGTCGTTCCTTAGACTTTTTCTTAACCTAGATCTGATTTGTTTACGCTCTTCATCATGTTCAGAACCTGATGGGACGAGTTTGCGAGAATCCATCAGTGTGACAGACCTTGAAGAAATCCACTGGTTCCTTGTAACTCTGTGGTTTAAGTCACTAACAGATGTCACTGCTGTTTCCACAGCTGCTTGTATGTCCTTCCAAGCAACATCTGGGTCAGCCTCGTCTTCACAACTAACTAAGTGTGACCTCAGTTGTTCCTGGAACCTACTTTTGGTTTTCTCGTTACTCAACTCAGTTCTAATGGGTCTTTTTAATGTGGCTTTTTTGCGTCCATTGAGGCGCAAGCAGATGCGTGCCCGTATTAGGGCATGGTCGGAGTCCAAGCAGGTGCTCCAGAATGAACGACAATCTTCTACCGACCCTCTCCAACGATGACTGATGGCAATATGGTCTATTTGAGTCCATCGTTGGTTTGGTGTAGGGGGTCGCCATGTTAGACGATGTCTCTCCTTATGCTTAAAATTTGTGTTTGCTAAAAATAAACGATTGTCTGAGCATAGCTGCAGCAGACGATCACCATTATCTGTTCGCTGTGTCGGAATACTAAAATATCCACCTAAATGCCTTTCTGTTTGGTTTAAACTGCCTATCTGAGCATTAAAATCACCTGCTACGAGTACTATGTCTGAGCGTTTAGCTTTCTGAAGAAGTTCGGATAGCTTTCTGTAAAATTCATCTTTCACTTCATCTGAGCTGCAGTCAGTGGGAGCGTAGGCAGAAACGACAAAAAGGCAACGACGTGTGTCCCTATCCTTCCGAGTTCTTACGTAGCCGTTCAGCCGAACAGCACATAGACGACTGTTGACGGGGATCCACTCTAGCAGTGCTTGTTCGGCCCTTATGCTTAGTGCTATGCCTACACCTGCCAGTCCACGAGAACTTGCCATCGGGTCACCGGACACACGAAGGGTGTATCTCGTTGGCTCTCCGTCTTGCCGAGGTGAGGTCAAGTGAATGACCACACTGGAATCCTGTATGCGTGTTTCGGAGACACAGCATACATCAATGGAAAGAGACTCTAGGGTCCACATTAAGTTATTCATCCTGTTGAACGACCGTTCTTTTTCACCATACTGCTACTGTGGTGTATGCTTCTTATATTGACATAAGTAGTAGATGATGTTAGTCGTGAACAGAATGTCTGGCAGCGGAGAGACAAGAGGATCGAACAGTAGATAATGGAAACAGAATGCAATTTGTATGAAAATGCAAGAACAATCAAGTCTGAGTCATTATGAGACAATTGATGGACATTTTGCAAATTACGTATTTATTATTTGATTGTTAGATTTTATTAACAAGTCCTATAATTTCGTGTCAAATACATTCGATTATCTCCATTGGTGTTCTTGTTTACTACACTACTATGCTACTTCGTTTACCATAAATTCATCTGACAGTAGTCCAGTTTTAAACCATCGACACACATTAGACTTGTTTTTTTTTTTAAATTTCAGACTCGTCAGTCTGCATAAAAGCACAAAAAGAATTATATTCTATTGAAATGTTAATAAAATTTACTCACATAACTAATTTTATATAAGCATCGATATTGCTTTTTATATCAGTTTGGGAATTTGTGGAGATTGTAGTATTTAAGCTAGACCACCATTGAAAATCTGAAGGCACTGGACGGTCTTTTCGTCCTTGTATGGAACTTTTCAGTAGTGCGCTCAGTGGTTTTGAAGTTAAGCGTTCACGCCCAAGACTGAAGGTCCTGCGTTCGAGTGCCACGTACGGGATCGTGGATGTGCACTGCTAAGGAATCCTATACCAGGATGAAAAGGGTGTCCAGTGCTTCCAGGTTTTCAATGGTTGTCTATCTTAGATCAACCCGTGTGTTCAACTGTTTTTTATATCTTATTTTTTTAACGCAACTTTTAAATTCGGATCGTAATTCAACACACCATTCTGTGTATTAAATTCATTTATTTTATTACCTACCCAACTTTCGTATTGTTGTTTTCCTACTTTCATTCATTAAATCTACATAAATTCAGCTTGTTGAACGCTATCCTTTACCCCCGTGTGTACCTGGTCAAACATCATTGCAACTTCCTCAAACAGATAGCAATGCTGTAGATAGTCAAACGACTACTGTTAGTGGAATTTGTATTCCAGGCACTGATAATCCATTACCACCGTTAACTAAAAGTAAAGCCGAATTTTACAGTTTCATAACAAGATTAATTCATTTGCTTCGATCAATGGGCTCTTTATTAAATCAGTACAAGCAGTAAGTATATTCATACATGCCATATTTATAGCAATACTTAAATCACGTTCCGATATTTTTACAATAAACCTGTTCAGATATACATAGTTTTTGGTAAAATGACGACCACGGTACTATTTAGGGTTGAAATCCTTATTGTGATATACATGTATATGCATATTTCTACTTTGATTTTAATTGAATTGGATTATCTACTAATGATTTCTGGCTTATTGATGAATTTGTTCTATAAATTCATGGATTGTATTCATAAATGCTCTATTTTAAATCTAGGGTATATCAGTCTTATTCCTGTCAAGATTCTCTTTATTTATGGGAGTACATTTATCTACTGTTTAAAACACACGTGGAACCCATCAAAAGTTAGGCTCTCTTGTCGTTACACTTTTTATCGTCACTGTTTTGTTTCATTTTGCCATTTAATAACTACAAAAAGTCAGAAAGAGCTAAATCTGATAAGTGGACAGGTTAATTTACCATGGTAAGTTAATTGGAGATGAAAAACTTACGGACAATCAATGATAATTGTGTTAGTTCATTTCACGTATCTATTACACAGATCTTGTCCATATAAAGAAATTACAACTTGAATCGATTGGTAGGTAATTAGAGACAAGCTGCGTTGAAGAACCGTATATATATATATATATATATATATATATATATATATATATATATATATATATATATATATATATATATATATATATTGGTAGTGGCTGGAAGTATTCCATCAATGATTCTAACCATCACTAAGGTTTGTTACATAACGTCATAATGTACAACAATGTCACGTTTGTGACAGTAACCCATGAAAAACTCCTGGCTAAATTAGGTTAGGATTTATCAGAAATTTGCATATTCAGTTCCGAAAGTACATTTTTATCTCACTCAAATTTAGAATCGTTCAGTGTAACGTCACTAAACTATTACAATCAAAACTATTACGTAAAGAATCAGTTAAATCCATAGCTTCGTTTATGTTCAGTTTGACTGTTAGTTCAGTGATTACATCGGATTCATTACGTTAACTACTAGTACCAGTTTTTTACAGTCATATCCTCTCTTCTAGTTTATGAAATGCATTTCAATTTACTTACCTAATTATACGAATGTTATAACTGTGACTGCGGATTAGACGGCAGTGAATTATTGATCGGACCAAAGACGCGTAAAACACGTGAGAACAACCTAGAGTCCTGACTGGTCCTGCTTTACGCTTAGCCCAGCCAGTTAAGTCCAGAACGCAAGTCTCAGCCTCTGAGATATGAATCATTATATTTCAAGCATACTCTGTTTATATACCAACCAAACAGACCACAACGTACCATAAAATAGAAAATAACATTGTACAATATTTGGCAGGAAAATGACACGTGAAATAAATATTGACCAGTAGGGAAACGACACGTAAAGTAAATATTGACCAATAGGAAAATGATACCATCTCAAGTCTAAGGACAGCATTAGACTTAACAGAATAATTTTAGAGATATTTTTCTGAATATCCCAACAACGAAGGGTGTAGTTTTTATTGACTGTGTTTTCAATGCCTGTACACCATAGTTCATGGTTTATAGATCTCTCTTTTCATTCCAGTGTTTCACGTTTGACTTGATTTTCGAAAAGATTCTATATTAATATTTAATATGCTCATATCTGTTTCATTCGTTTTTTCATATATTTATTTCAAACAGAATATTTACAGGTTGCAGTGTTGATCTGTATTTGAAATTTGGTTCTTTATACAATGAAATGTGTGTTCATGAACACTGTATTGATCGATTAATAGAACAAACTAAAAATGATCAATTAGATGAGACAATATCATTAGAATCATTGATAACATCATTTAATTATTTCATTCAATTATATAATGTTCATTTGAAAAATGAACCATTATTTAATTGTAATATTAAACTGATGGATTTTACACGAACAATTTTATCTGCAGTTGATGCTTTATCAGTTGATTCTATGGCTTTAATGATATTAACAGGAAAAGATGTTGATTGTTTATTAAAAATAGCCAAAACTGCTGCTTCAAATGTTTCTGGTCCATTAAGTATGGGTAGTATGGATGAAGTTGGTTCATTGTTATTGTTAAAATCTTCAAATAGTAGCGATAGTAATGAAGGGTTAATTATTCTTCTTAATGAATTAGTACATTTTGCTACAACTGTACGTGTAATTATACGTCGAATAAAACGAAGAATTCCAAATAAACCTATTGGTCAACAACCATTATCATTTAATCAAGATGTTGCACAGAAATTAGATACAGTTATTCAATTATTTGATTCAATTGTTGGAACTATGTACACAACAACTCGTTTGGCAGGTCAATTAACAGTTCGTCAAGTGGTATGTTCTTTTTCTCTTGGTATAATATTAATATTTTGAGAAAAACTATGTAACACCTTGGTGACTTATGGCTGCGTTAAAAATAACCTTGACGTTTTTTATGTGTTAACTCTTAGCCAACGGTTAAACGAATCATTTAGTCAGTCCTAAATTATTCCATTTTCAATCATCATTAGATTCTAATTTCGAATGTACTTTGATTTACTTTGTTCCACAGCATCTAGGTGATAATAAGTTAAAGTTTAAGTTAAATTTGAAAGCGTTGGTCTGTACTCGTGCTTAATAAATTGTATTTTATTTGTTTCTGATCTATCTGCACCGTTGTTATGTGTTCAACTTTATTCTTCTCATTTGTGCTTAGCTTATTTATAATCCACTGGCAGTGTTGAGAGGCTAACACATTTGTTCACTTTCTTAGTTAAGAATTTATCAAATGAATCCATGAAATCCGATAAGTCCCAAAGGAGTAATTAAACTTGAAATTAGCTCATTGGTCAGTTAGTTGTAAATATTTCAGTCTTACAAAATTCTAGTCGCGGCTTGGATAACTAAATGGTATCGTCTCAGTTCGTCAAACAGTGTGAAGTAAGTTGGAATCCTTTAGAGGGTACCAGTTTCCCAAAGACTGCAGGTACACCTTGATAACAAGTGCCAAGTAGCACGAAAGTTAAACCCAATGTTTCCTGTCAACTACCTTCAACTAATTAGCAGTTTAAGGAGATTAGTTAAATATGATAATCAGCTGCAGTACAATAAAATACTTATTGTAACATTAATTTATCATTATTTCTTACATATTTCTCTTAATAATGCTTTCATAACAATAGATATCCTTGTTTGTCTTCTAGTAACATTTTTCATGTGTATTATTTCACAGGAAGATTCATCCAATCTTGAACCAAATGTTGTATTTACTCAATGTTTAACAGAAGCTTGTAAAGAATACTTAACATCAATTGATCTTCGAACTAGTAGTACTTCACGTCCTAGTGTTATTTCACCAGAAATATTAGTTCGTACTAATCTAAGTCAAATTGCTCGTATTATTAGTCAAATAGCAATAGCAATGGAAAATGGTGAATATGATTTTGATGGAACTAAACAACCATTGGTAAGTTTACTAAATTCACATTTATTAGTTATTAAAAAATATATTGTAAGAAGTATTTTCTTAATTTGAAATTAGTTTTATAACATAGTCCTAGTAATATACACAACAGAAGGTTTGATTTGAAAATAACATTGTATGATGATTTAATGTTATTTCTGAATTCTTCAATTACATCCATAACATAATTTGTGAGTAGGAACGTTGATTAATGGTTTCGGTAGTGTTGTAACGTGTGAGACTGCAGGTTTTGATAAGCAGCGTATTTATTGATCGATCGATTACAGTGACACGGAAAACACGTAAAGACGACCTAGTGCCCTGATTGGCCCTGCTTCGCTATCTGTCCTAGCCAGTTGAGTCAAGAACGCAAGTCACAGCCTCTGAGTTATGAATCATTGTATTCCAGACATACTCTATTTATATACCAAACAAACAAACCACATCGTACCATAAAATAGGAAACAACATTTACAAAATATTTAACAAGTGAAATAAACATCGACCAATAAGAAATGTACATTTAAGGTCCAAGGCCACCATAGACTTAACACGATAATTATTGGTATATTTTTCCGACTATCCTAACAGGTAATTAATTAGCATCATATAACATGTTGCTTATTATTATTTATTTATTTATTTAAACACATAAACATTGGTACAAGGAGGCACCAAATAGATATGCGCCACATAAACAATTCGATTTGTGTGAGGGCTGTGATACTGCCCGGGTGCCCAGACCGAAACAGGTGGTTTTCTAAGAGGGCCACACCCCAAGCCTTTGACCTTAAGGTCTGACCCACAAGGCAGTGGAGCATCGTAAGGAGATGCAGTCCCATGGTGGCCGGTGACCAAAGATTGGTTCATACGCCATTTGTTCCCTCAGGATACTGGAGCCCATGTGCACCATTGATTTGGGATCCGGTTAAAGCGCCGAACATTCGCTTTTCATCCTCTCATTTTCGTAAACAACACCCCCGCCACGAGAAAGCAATGAGTAGGACTTCCCTGGCAGAGGCTGTATACGCGTGGCCGTGTGAGAGTATTTCGAGAGGGAGAGCGGACTCTCCCCACTCTCGGCCATATCAGGGCATTTGGGGGCTAACTGCTGTCAAATTCATTCTCTGAGATTTTACAAATACATTCTTCCTTTTTAATGTCTCGCACCAACTCGGCGCCCCAATACTATGAATTTAGACGAAAGTTCCTATTGATGTACACAAATTTGTACTTGTTAACTGAATTACATTTTAAAACAATTTACAATCTGATCATTTCATTAATCTTTCGTCGTAAAGTTTATGAGACTAGATAGTAAGTCTTTTAGAAGCTATCTATAATTTAAACACCATGTTCCTGTCTATAAAACCTTAATTTTCCATGATCTAATCCTGGAATGTATCGTGTGTCTAAATAGTTAAAAAGGAAGTTTTAGTTGTTTAACTGACATCAGAAACTGAACAAGGTTAACTAACATAAATATAACATTAGTTCTCCTTTATCGGTAAGGTGTTCCAGCCTGATTATTTGGTAAAACTTTCTCTGGGGAGGTCTATGTAGGCTCTTCTGGAATGGATTCCGTGTATTTCAAGGCTCACAAACTCGTGGGTGTGATTTTGTGGGGAATCGGTCTCTAGTATTGACTACCATATCTTTTTATTATGTCTTCGACCTGATGGGTTGCGCTACTAATTTTATTAGACGCACGGCAGACAACATTTACAACATTATACGCAACCAAACACACACCCTTTGTATATACCTACATACATGAACTACATAGGCCTGAGGACTTTTGCAATTCTTATACATAAGCATACACATCAGGTAGCCTGGTGCGATTAAGTGAATCCTGAGTTAATCAAGGATAGAACGGAGTGGGTAATTAGTTCGATCTCCGTCAACTACCTAAGTTGGCTAGTAAGGTTGCCCCTACTATCAAACAGCGCCGCGAGAAGACCTTTGGTCGTATTTTGCTGCCTCTCCAGTGTTACAGCAAATATATTAGAATTAGATAATAGCGACTGATATATGATGATGTGAAAAATATACAAAAGTGAAGAGATTTCACTGTTCTCAAAAACTACATGGTATTGATTTTGTTGTTGTTGAAATTACTATCATTTCGGTTTAATCGGTTGTTATAGTCTATAGTTTAGAAAGTAAACGATCTAAACATTTCACTTTGTAATCCTTCCTGGAATAGTTCGTCATTAGTTGCAAAGCAAGCCTGACCAATACCAAGTGATATCATGGTACTTTTAATTGTGAAAAAATAAACAAACGCTTATATCTAGTAGCTGATACATATTTCATCGAAAGGTGTATATGATTCAAATTGAAGGAATGTTCACATTTTTCGTATTACACAAGCACGACGAGATAGATAGAAAAGCATAGAAACAATTTGTCAGCAATCACAATAAGAAAAATTAGACATTCAGAATATGATTCGAAAAGATAGGTGTAAAGGAATACTGGAACTCAAAATTTAGCTGATAAGTGAATTCATCTGCGCCATTGTGGCTGATTCTGAGTCGTGTCATTTACCCTCGTCAACCATTGATCATGATTATAATATCGACCCCCAGCCACGTAGTTTTCATCTACCTACATGGCTCAGATTAACAGTTAATCAGTTCATTATTCAACAAGATGTTTTGGTTTGATTGACCCTAGCTTTTATCCAACTTATTCTTACACCAACCGACATCGATTTGTCTAGGTATACAATAGTTAGACACACGCCTCCAACACCTCACTCAATGAAAATTCACAGCATGTTAGACCGATTTTCCATCTTTACTCAAGTACTCAATGCTTAACGTTGCGTACTAGATTGTTACACAATACACAAGTATATCAGTCAGTCAGCTACAGCGTAGGACCAGGCACATATGTGCATCGGTCCAAGTTGCCATACCTCATTAGCACAGCAAGATAAACACAGGATTCATAGGAGTGGTTAATTCAGTGGTGGTAATATATAAAAGAAGGATTACATATAAGGACATAGTACAGACGGATAGATATGAAGCGATTTTAATCTCATAGTTTAAGGGAAGACAGAGAGTGTATACACCAACGCCATTGTGATGAACTCTGAGCCATGTAACCCGGAGTCTCCAACCATTGGTTACGATAGTCACACAGACCCCAACCAAGTAGTCTGCATCTACCAACAGGTCTCAGACTAGAAGTTAGTGTCTTCAAGCACTGATGCCACGTTTGGGTTTGGTCGCCCCTAACTTTCTTCCAACCATCTCCAATACCGGTTAGCATTGCACGACGTGGTAATCGGTGTTCAGGCACACGCAACACATGGCCCAACCATCTCAGTCGATGAAAATTCACAACCTTATCAACTGTTTTACCACCATCCCCTAACACCCTACGTCTAATATATATATAATATAGACTACAGATCCCCTTTCCTTTTTGTTTATATTAATATGAATTTTTTGTTGATTACTAATACTTTTTTAATGTTTTGATGTATTTATTCTATAATTTCTAGCCTCAAGAGCCAGTTGTTGCTCGTGCCATCGCCTATAAACGTGCACAAACTGAATTAGAAGGGTGTCGTGCTAAATTAGAAAGTCGAGGTGAAGAATTACGTGAATTACAAAAGGCATTAAAAGCACGTGCTGATGAGCTTAGTGAAATGTCTGTTCGTGTTAGTTTAGCTGAGAAAAAGTTAGAAACTGCAGGAAAATCGAACGAAGAGAAGATTTCCCGATTAGAACAACGTTTAGAACAGTCAGAAGCTCAACAGAAACGTAATGAGAAGTATGTTTTTTTGAATGTTTGTCACTACTTTTTAGTAATTTTACAATGTAAAGTTTATAAATTTGTTTAAACCATTTTTGTTTACAAATAATTCGAATATTGATAACTACATACACAATGCTTTATTGATTTCGTCACTCAACACGAAACGGTACCTTCATATCGCATGAACCTATCCAAAAGACAATGTTTCTTGGTATAATTGTTATATTAATGATAATCCAATGGAAAATAAGCTTATCTCTGAAGTTGAAATCATGAGTCAATTGAAGCTAGCCCATCATGGAAAACCTGGAAACACTGGACGGCCGTTTCGTCCCAGTATAGGACTCCTCAGCAGTGCGCATCCATTTATGATTTCAACCTGTGAAATTTCTAAAATCACCAAACCCCTTGTGATTATCTCTAAAGTACCTACCTCTCGTTATTTCCTACATGAAAGTTTCAACTGACATTGCATTACATTAGCATTGAATGTGCAACTTTAACGAGTTTCGAATTCCAATAGAATAACCCATCGGTTGTTATCATTTTCCCACATTCTGTCATTTTTTAATGCGAACTTTATACACTGGTTTCTTAAATCAACAGTCATCAAATTTTGTGCACACTAGAAAAATGATTAAAAACCTAATATCCATATAATCGCATTAATATTACTTACTTGATTATAATCAGTAGTATGTGACAATGGACTGAATAGTGATGTTTCTCAAAGTGACCTATTTACAGTGTTGATACAGAATTTTAAGATATTCCAGCGGAGAGTTTACCTAATCATTAGGATAATTTCTCAATGCTTACATAGTTTTTAATTGATATAAAGTGGTATTTCCCTAGCAAATGTCCGTCTCTTTAACCGGGTTGGTGGATACGGTGGATCCATCTAGGGGAGTTGCAAAACCCTGATTCCAAACTAATGGTACACATGGACTCCAGAATTCTAAAGAAATAAATGGTATATGGACCTATTGGTGGTCACCGGCTATCATTCAATTTGTGTGGTGCATATATATTTGTTTCCTCCTTGCACCAATGTTTATGTTTGCGTGCTTCGGTTTGGGCTCAGAGTCAGTATTCGAGCCCTCACATACATCGAATTATCTGTGTAGCGCATACGTATTTGGTGCCTTCTTATACCAAGGTCTATGAGTTTAAATAAATTAGTGAAAGTTTATGCTTAAATAAATAAATTAATTGCCTCTTGGAATATTAACGTGAAGTTATTCACAGATAAGTGTTTTACTACTAATATCTTTTACTGATCATATTTCAAACCTCCATTCCTGTTGTCAACTTTTTGTTGAATTAGTGCAAATCAACATCCATAAATTAGATTTCACTCTTCATTCTACAAGATTTTTCGGACCATTTGTTGTGTCGAAAAAAATTCATATCAATTTTTAAGTCAGTCAGTACAAAATAGAGAACATAGTGTACAAGTAAACATCGGTATATGCTATCACATCAACATAACAAGGTGTGTTTTCATCATAAATCATGCCTCACATAAATCACATTGACTGAAATGACATGGCATTGACTTGATCAAACCTGTTTTTTAATTGATTGCGCCAAATATTCTTGCTTTGTTCCTTTGTACTATTTAAACTTCGGTTAATTTCATTTGTTTATTTACTCTGAAGAAGTAGCTTACACTGAGTCACGAAACGTTAAAAAATTTTTTTAAAAAAACTCAATTTTTCTACTCATTTTTTACTTGTTTTATTTGAACACATAAATATTGGTACATGAGGGCACCAAATATGTATGCGCCACACATTTTCATTGTCAGTATATTTGTGTGTGGGCTGTGATACTGCCCGGGTGCCCAGACCGAAACAGGTGGTTTTCTTAGGGAGCCACACCCCAAGCCTTTGACCTAAAGGTCTAACCCACAAGGCAGTGGAGCATCGTAAGGAGATGCAGTCCCATGGTGGCCGGTGACCAAAGATTGGTTCATGCGCCATTTGTTCCCTCAGGATACTGGAGCCCATGTGCACCATTGATTTGGGATCCGGTTAAAGCGCCGAACATTCGCTTTTCATCCTCTCATTTTCGTAAACAACACCCGTGTGACGCGAAGGCAGTGAGTAGGACTTCATTGGTAGAGGCTGTATACGCGTGGCCGTGTAAGAGCATTTCGACAGGGAGGGCGGGCCCACCCCACTCTTGGCCATACCAGGGCATTCGGGAGCAACTAACATTGGGATATTACAAATATATTATTACAATCTATCCAATGCTCAATTTATTTGAAATTGTCAAGTCAAACCCTAATAGTGATACCTCTTATCAAACCGTTATGGCAAATAATTGGGTTCCTATACATTGTTCGTTTGTTTGTTTGAAAGGATTCAAGATTTTTATAATTTTTTACATTATTTGAGCAGTCTTAAAAATAGATTATTGATTTAATCGAAGCATCTAGACTAACATCTGTTATCCGAATATTTCAGTACACTGTATTCTATGTTACTATGCACATATTTTTTTCATTTTTAAAATAATAAAAATTGATGATAGGTGTGTAATCTTAAAATGATACTATTGTAACCCACTGATACAACTGCTCACTACGCCTGTTATTCAACCACGGAACATCCATAGCAGAATGACAACTAAAAAAAAGAGCAGAACAATAATAGATTCTGAAATCACAGAAGTATTGTAGTGAACGAACAAATCTAGTAGGGAGAACTAATTTCTTTATTAATAAAAAATTACAATGATTTCGTAAAATATGAAAACCATACATTAAATACATAATTTGCACACCTTTAATCAGTTTTCCCTTACATGATTGATGATTCTTTCAATGCTTTTGTGATTATGGTTATTCTTTCCTTTTCTGTTCTTTTCAATTGAATCTTCACAATCTTCTACTGGCATACATCCCACTTCCGATTAGCGCTACATACTACTTAGATCTGTCAACATGAGTAGTATGTAGTGTCGGTTATTATGTTAAGCCCATATGCCTTATTCTAGGTTTCGGACAGCCCACTCTACTCGTTCTACTCGATTTACTTTTTTACCTTGTTAATTATTCACTTATCAGTCTTGACTGTTTTTATATGAGCGCGTAGGTCTGTGTACATTTCGTATCCCATTACTCATCACATATCTGTAACTTACTTTTGTGTAACTATAAATATTGATTAACGCTTGGTTAAATGGTAGTTGGTTTACCAGCCATTTCCGCTCTGCGTCGTTTCTTTTCTCTTTATTCCATTCTTTCTATATACAAAATATATGTATTCTCAAGTTCATTCTCGTTGTTCGACTTATTTAATTCTATTATTCACTAACGTGATTATATACGAGGATAGTCGATGACAAACATCATTACGATCTACTTGGAGTCAGATCTTGGGTCACTAAAGTGATGAGCCCTTTCGACAACATTGTTCGATCTAAATGAGGACAAAATTACGGGCCCCACAAGTATATACCACAGTATTTGTTCTCCTGTTCACACAAAACATTGTATAACATTATAAAACTACAAAATTTATAACTGAATTTACAATTTATAATATAGATCAATCTTCTATTCTTTTTTGATGGTAGTGCACTCCAAGAAAAATTAAGGTAATCGAATGTCCCTTATTTTAGGTGAGCTATCTAATGAGTGATTGATCTTTCTGTGAAGTCTGGAAATAATTATTGTTGTAACGTTTAAGATTATTGTACAATAAAAACTTTGTTTTTTCAAATACTTATTTGAGATTTGTTTATTTCAACAACAAAAAATTATTACAAACAGAGAATATGAACAAACCTTAGATGCACTTCAAGCGGATATTGAATCTTTGGAACAAGAAAAAGCAGATCTTAAAGAAAAATTAAAAACACTCAGTAAAAAAGCTTTATTTGAAGGAATTATTAAATCTCCACTGCTTCCAAGTAAGTAGAGTTGTGTCTTTCTTCTTTCTTTTTTTTTAGTTTTCAGAAGTTACAAGGTTGTTATATATCAATTAGAGTTCAATTTACACCTCTTGTGTTATGTTAGTTGATAGATAGTTGTCGACTTTTTTTTGTAAGGTAAATTAATTGAGGTGATATTCAAGCTTTTAATTCATTAGTTAGAATTAGATTATGGTTAAAGTATATAGGGACAGGTTAAACAGGATTAAGAACACAACTTTAAGCTTTTTGTTCGAAATTTAAATATCATAAATAACGAGTAATGGAAATACTTTGTATACTTTGTGTACAAGACTGCCTCTCCTTTTGGAGTGCCTATCTGAACTGTGATCATGCCTTGGTCTGCGCTAATTTTACCTTACTTTTCAGTGGCCAACGAAGTGACCATCACCAAAGAATTGATGTCAGCAAGCTGGTTGCAAATTCTGTTGCTAGTAGGTATCGAATCGAGTTAGCTTCTAGGCTAGCTACCATTCCACCGAAAAGTATGGATGAGCATTGGTTTCAACTTCATGAAAATGGCGAGTAAAGACGCTTACGGCTTCGCGAAACGTCCCGCTTTTAAGCACTGGGTTTCTTCTGGTTCCTTACAACTCATTGAAGCCCGTCGGTCTACTCCGGGTGACCGTGAGTTTGACCATAAACGAAGGATGTTACATAAGGAAATTGGGCAAAGCTTGCGTAAGGACCGAGAAGCCTGGTGGTCGGAGCGTGCTAATGAGCTGGAAGCAGCAGCTGCATCTGGTAACTACCGGAAGCTCTTCCAACTCATCCGAGCCACTGGCAGCAAGAAGTCTGGTGTGAGTGAAACAATCTGCGAGGATGATGGGATGCCAATCACTAACATCCATCGACGTCTTGGACGATGGGCGGAATTCTTCGAAGGGCAGTTCAACTGGCCTGCTGCTCCACCATAACAATTTCTTAATACTAAATTACTCCTACTGTCCATTTTTTTATCTTCAATATTCTAGGCACAACGCAATCTAAAACTCAGCCTTCAACAACAGGCTCTACCACTACTTCAGCTCCTGCACCTGATAGACAAACTTCAGTCGAGTGTACATCACCTTCACCTGGTCCAGCTCGTTTGGCTGCTTACCGAGATGCTTCATTGATGGCAATGGAGGTTGGTTTTAATATATATATATATATATATATATATATATATATATATATATATATATATATATATATATATATATATATATATATATATATATAACAGTACAAATATGTAGGATATTAGTTCTTTTGTGATAACTAATTACTTTCCAAGATCTAATTCTACTACTCAATACCTTTTTTGTATCTACAGTCGGAAAAGTTCATTTGTCTACTTGTTTTAAATATGTAATAGTTTGTCTGTGATATTAGGAAAATCCCCTCATAAACAATCTCCATTTTCAACACAGCCATTTTATATGTCAGTCCTGATAAGAAGACCTTAACAAATTTCCTGGTTTCTAATGCTCACCTTTATAAAAAAAATCCTGTGGTGATTTTTCTCCAGTCTAGATTTTCCCACTAACCCTTGCTGGTGTGTGATTGATTGTTCTCGCTTTTACTTTTTAGTTTTTATGGTATCTCAATAGAGCTATTCAATTGCTATTTTGACTTCTTTCAAGCGTATTAGAGCTTCCCTGAGAGTATCTTCTTTTCTCTCGTGTTCTCAGGTGGATTAACAACACTGAATTGTTATAGTGCATTATTCCGCCGATATATCTTGTTCTTATATAAGCCGCTCGTATTAGAAGAACCTTCCAATACGTGTTCATCTTAATTTATATGTAATAATTCCTCAGCCTGCTTATGAGACCGGTTTGTATTTTGGTTATCTGGATATACTTCTTAATTTCGACCGATTAACAAACGTTTCACACTTGTGAATCATGATGTTGATTATCAGCACTAGAGTAAATTAAACTTATGGAAATAGATTCAATTAACTGCATGTAATTATTTATATTGTATCTATGTCCATTTGTCCAATTGGCTAACCACATTTAGTATGCTTTCGTGTGTCATATTGTAAGTGGTAACTGTAGTATACATTTGTGTCAGATTGACGAGCTTAATCAATTCGAACCAGTAACGTGATATTTAGTTGCTAAATGTCCAATCCACTAAAACCGTTCATGTACTAAAAGTACTTTTGTGGTGACCTTGTTATCTGCCCACTAGTCTTCATTTAAAGCTTGGAGGAAAAGTTGTCTCGAAACTAGCTTACGGCTTTAATGAGCCGGACTACTTAGTATACAACCTTGAGGATGCAACGTGTGAGTTTCACTTTGTGACCAGATGGCCTTGAAGACAGAGGGGGAAAGATCTATCTTACACTGACAAATGGCCTAATTGGTTAACAAGAGAAACAAAAAGTTCATCGAAGCAAAAGACTTTATATCCGATTCAACTAACTCAAGAAAGTACGCGGTAAAAGTATGATATACCGATGACCTTGAGTTAACAAGTCAGAATTGAGGTAACTCATTTATTTTTCGCGAAATTTAACGTTCAATGATAGATAACCTGTATGTTATCATTAACTGAATGAAAATCAACAGTAATTGTCTCTTAAAATGCTCGGACTGAGTAAAAATATCTATCACTCAGCCAAAATATGAATTTGAGATGGTGCTTGACCTAAATGACTAAAACACAACTTCTAAGGTAGATTGTGTTAAAGTGCTTAATGTGATTCAATGCGTAGTCAATAGTCTCTAACTCTTCCTCTAAATCTCAACCCTAAGTTTCGTAATTTTGTGAGCAAAACATTGAATTATAGCTGTTATCAGTTTGTGATGAAAACCTCAACCCTAATTTGTAAATCGAACTCAAAACTCCAACCTTACTCTTTATACCTATACCTACTCTTTTTACATTATAACTAATTTTATATGGTAATGAAAACTCTATGGGGTGATAACCCTTATTCAGAGTATACTATCCTAACTCTTAACGTGTAAACTTAACCATTTTCCTTCTCTACAATCAATAATTTGGCATATAAGAGTTAACTATTCACATCAAAACTGTTATTTCATTGTTAGAATATTGCATTTTTCTGTTAATTATTTTATTACTTTGCAAGGATTCCTGATTGGTGGCTCATAATTCTCCCAAGATTGTCAGTATATTATATTTTATCAAGGTTCACGAATAAATATTATCAATAACTGGACCACAAAGCACATTAGATGAGAAAATACTATTGCACAAAACTAGGACATTAGAATGTAAGGATCACGTTGAATTAGGCGTAACAAAGTCTAAAAAAAAGTTTTCATAGTTCATCATTTCTTCATTCCTCTCGTCACACTAAATATACCTTAATAATTTAAAAGGAAAAAAGACCAGTTAAGTCTCCACATTTAATTAATATCTGTCATGAATAAGATATCAGTATTTAAAAATCATTGTTTCTTATTTGTTGTAGATCGAAGCTCTCCGTGAAGCTGTTCGACGTTTATCTTCTGAAGTGTCCAAACTTCGTGGTGAGAAGATGCTTGTAAGTTCTCCCTAATTATTGATTCCGATGTACATATTGTATGTCATAAGTGCTATATCTTATCATTAGTCAAGATGATCTCAAGTACTGTTAAAGGTGTTTGAGCGGTTATTGATTCAAGGTTGCCGACATAATGAAAGTATATTTCCTTTTGAGGAATCTAAAAAAAGGAATCCAGGGGAAGGGTGCCTTGTTGACCTTAGCGAGAGTTTTCCTGAATGTTTCTTAATCAATCACTAAAGATGCACCAATCAGAATATATACTACTTTAGTTAGTCCACAAATTAACAACGTAAATTTTGGTCAACGATATGCTTCTCTTCTCAAAGATTAATCTTAATGCTTATTGATCCACCAAGCAGATACATTCGTCCTGGTTTCAGCTAAATGTCTATTATTATATTTGAGTGACAAGTTTCGTATGGGACTAGGTGGTAGAGAATGAAACTTATGAATGTTTACCCTTTTTATTTATTGAAGGTCTACTCATTCGACTATTTCATCCTTAATTTATTGGTATGTATTTCATGCACCCATTAGTTTATATGCATACATTACCAGACCGATAATTTGATTGTTAAAATCAATTAATAAAATGAACGTGATAATACGATATGAGGCCGATTGACGGTTACTTAGGAGATTATTTTGTTGACTTAGGTCCCCAAATAACATACTTATATACAAAATATGAAAACCAAATGAACATTGTAAAATGCCAAAGGCAGTTGAAGGAAATTAGCTTTTAGGTCACTCATTGTCCTACCAATTAAAACTGTTAATCATAATCTTGTAACATCATATCACCTCCCCCTAAAGAAATGATATGGGATCCTTCTTTAGAAACTTTGCTCAATGCATTCTTCAATTTCATTGCAAATCAAGTTTTTGTTCGTTTTTCCTATTGGAACCATCTTAACATCGAATACATGTTAATTCATTTTCCCTCTTTAAAATGAACATATCACACGATCTTATTCATAACTACCCAACACCTGAAGAGCTTGTACACTGTAACTAAAAAAGTCAGTAGTTCTCATCAAACTGATGCGTGGCTTGTGGAGGTTGATCTGGGATTTGCGTTATAGGTTCAGTTGAATGTCTTGTAATCCAAATTGGAGATCCCAAACTTGGAGTCAAAGAATTTGCAAGAAATTTTGCACTAATTGGCTTTCAACCGACAAACCACAGGTTTGAAACCTGTTCTACTTAAATCGGTCTGGAAAGCTACATCGTATCATGTAAATAGCGTAGTTCAAAATATAGATTTCATAAATTGGTACTTGGTCAGTGAGTGACATTATGGATTGCTTAAAAATCATCTTCATTTCTTGAATTACGTTTTCCTGTTGATAACATAGCTCATCTAACCTCTTTATAATGAAACAACACTCAAGCTAGTTGTTTTTCATTTTTCACTTATAATCTATCACTTTTTACTGACTCACTTTTAATTTTTAAAAATCTAGGAACAACTTAAGAGCTTGGGTTCTTTACAAAAACCTTCACGTCGTCAAGAGCCTATTATTGTAGATGATGACACTTCTGATAAGGAGAATAAATCATCCTCACCTATGCAAGAACACAAATCTGTCCTACCACAAATTGTCCATGATGCAAATGTACTACGAAAAGAAATTTTCTCTGTACTTGCAAATCCTCAAGTTGTTCGCTTGCCTAAATTATTGTCAAAACAAGTTTCAGAGATGCCTATTTCAGATTCTGGAGATGATGGATCAACTTCTACTCTACAACCGGTTAAAGTTGTTCAACCCAGTGCTACAATTCAGTTTAATAGACAAACGGTGAAATTAGTCAAATTGAAAAATGAATTAGAAAAGGTAATGTATTTATATACTCATATACTTCAACTGTAATTTATTTCGTTAAACGTAAAATACTACTATTATTTCTTTTCATTACAAAAAGTTGATTTATGGTTAAAATATACATGCATTAAACCTTTATGAGCTACTTTAGATCTTAAAGCAGTGAAATGACACAAAACTAGGTTTATTGTAATGTTTCTATCAATTAACCTAGAAGACACTTATAAAAATGAATGGAAGTTCAAGTTAAACCGATTCAGGACAAGTCCGTTATTAGTGACCATTTACTCATTATACTAAAAACAATTTCCGAGTATAAACCCCAAAATATACTGTCATAACTATCTCATGTGTTTTTTTTTGTAGCTTTACCCTGTATATAGGATGAATCACATGTTTAGCTTAAATTATGCGAAAGTTTGCTTCATTATTGTTTGGTATACATTGTTAGTTTCGTGATTTTCTATTTTAATAACCCACTAATTAGAACATAACTGTGTTAGATGGATAATGGCTAGCAGAAAAACCCAGGGCGCGTTCTTCGTCCTATTTTAGATTCGTCAGCTCGATGTACCTGTTGATGTTCACTCTGGGACTCTAACCTAGTACCACGACCTGGATTCCTGTGTTAGCCACCATCCATCTCTGTTTATAATGTTTGTGACTTAAGGTAAGTTCGAGACAATCCGCACAAGATGCATGTATGCCAATAAGAAGCTGATCATTTGCAGTCCTAAACATCAGTGTGAATATTCAAGAGACCAATGCAGAAATGAATAACTGTGTTAAACTGATACCCATTATTTTCTTACGACTCCATAAATCGTGATCTTAAAAGATGGGAGGTAAGTAGCTCTGAAAATATCATAATAACACCCAATGGCGTCTATGTTGTAGTAGAGTAGTGGTAAGCTGCTCTGTTTTCAGCCATTTAGTCGTGATTTTGGATTTCTTTCCTTCAACTTAGATTTAGGTAACTGATAATCACCAGCTATCAAATAGTAGTTGTATGAGTCGAAGGAGAATGCAAGAATTTGCATTTCTTAGCCCCAAATTGCCATGATATCTATCGGTATATCACGAACATTGGCAATTAAATTCAATCAACGCTTTTAAATTATTTTGTGCAACATATAACCCTAACTAGTAAATTCGCACATTCCAACATTGCTGGATTCAATGAATACATGTAATAACGACACGGTATGGCTACTTATAGTATTACTCAGCCTTCTTCCATCCCCCAGCTAACATGGAGTATCGTATCGAGTAGCAGTTGAGGGTCTGTGACAATACCCGATTTTTCTTATCAGTCATTTTACCATATATATTCAACAGTACCCTACACCCAACCGACCGTAGCTGCTAACTTGATGTAGTGCTCGAGCTTCCTCATCGTATTGATTCGATCAAGCTAGCTAAAATAATTGTTCCTTTAGGCTTTACTATGCCATCCAGGTCATTTCGGGAACGGTAAGACTAAAAGCAGCCAGCTCATGAGCAGAAAGCGGAGTCATACTGCTGATTATAGAGTGGTTTAGCAACGGTAAGGTGTTTCCTTCAGGTAACCAGGGTCTGCAGTGCTGTCGCCCTTTCAGTAGAAGAAAGAAGTTAAGAAAGGTGCGGCCTAGAACTGTAAAGTCACACCTTACTCTACAAATTTTCGTCTCGAACAGTAGGGCATTTTTGAACCACGGATCTAACACATTATAAACTTTTCACAGAAGGGCCGTGTATGACCGGCATCAAGCTGTTATCTCCTAAACTCTGTAGTCACGCTTCCAAGTTGCTACGACCACTACTAATCCAGTTTCATTCTCAGATCTCTCAAAACGAAATACTCTCACGATGAGGATTACGAAGAACTGACAACCACTCTCATGTACACTATTAACAATGCTAGGAATTCTTTTGTTGCGTTTGACTTTACTTGACACGTAACTTCAGCATTACTCACTGGATTGTTATGCGTTTTTTTAAAAATTATCTTAACTTCCTCCACTGTATTGATTGATTTTTTTTTCAACTCTACTTTCTTTTTTTTTTCCTCAAAACCAACATAATACTACTCCTAGTTACAACAACGTGCATTTGATGCAATTAAAACTGAAATACCAAATACATTAATTCAAGCAGATTTCACATCATTTCCATCAGTGAAAATGAAACAATTATTAAATTTATCAAATATTAATGAAACTACATCATTACATTATCGTTTATTATTTCCTGGTGGTAGTACTACTACGACTACTACTACTACTATTGATGATAATTATGAAACTATGAATACAGCAAAAATTTCTATGACAAAACAAGATCTACAACATTTACATTCATATTTGTTAAAAGTTTAAAAATAATGAATTAATGGGTGGTATCATTTGTTCATTTAATGTTAGTGTTTTTTTTTCTTTTTGGGGGGGGGGAATGGGGATTCTAGACTTATTTGAATGTGTTTCTTGTATCCTATGGTGAGATATGTAATGTGTATTGAAGATATATATATATATATATATATGCATATTCATATGATTATATCCAAGGAGAGAAGTATCCATCATCTGATATTTCATTATTCTTTGTTTCTTCTTCTTTTTCTTCACTGTTTTCAAAGTTATTTTTAATAAGATATTTTACTTATCTGTAATGTTTATTTTTCGGTTTTATGGTTTAATTTATTACTGATCATGATATAAAACAATAAATAAATTGAAGTGATGAAATAACTTGTTGATTTATTATCAAACAAACTGGTTGTATTATGTTTTCATATGTTAATTTTAATAGTTGAATTCATGAACCGATCTAAGCTAGATCACCATTGAAAACTTGAAAGTATTCGACCGCCATTTCATTCTAGTATTGAACTTTTCAGCAGTATGTTTAGTGGTCTTGAGATTAAGCGTTCACGCGCCAGACCAAACGTCCTGAGTTCGAATGTCACGTGAGGGATTGTAGATGTGCACTGTTGAGGATTCCTATACTAGGACGAAAAAGCCGTCCAATGCTACAGGGTTTTTAATGGTGATCTGGCTTAGATCGTCTCATGAGTTCAACTATTAAAATTACTACAATGTCCACGAATATACCCATCCTGATATATATTGACATGAATTATTTTCTCTATTTAACATAAGATTAATAACATGTGTTATAAATTAGTGTCTAATGGATAAGTATCTTTTGAATCAGTTAGTAAATTAACCTGTTGTATCTTGATATTTGGTTTGGTTCCACCTACAGAAATTACTATTTACAAACGACCTTGAAAAGGTGGCAACTAAAGTATATAACACTTCAACAATAACTCCCAATAATGCAACTCAAAAAAGAAGTGAGCTATATAGGAAGAAAATTGGTATGCAATGGAAATAAAATCAAAGTGGTAGTACTTTTTATATGGCAATTAAATCTAACCATGAGACCGAAACAAATAATAAACTAAAATTGGAAAATGTCATTCAGATGTACGATTCAGGGAACTTTCCTCTGGGTTCTCGTTACAGAAAAGAAAATTAATATTTATTTGCAAAAACAGCACAGGTGTGGTAGAGCATATCGAAGCAAATATTTATTCGGGTTCTTTATCAAAATCACTCTTCTTTTCATTCTCTTGCTGCAACGCATCTCCAACTTCAACTCAGTGCAGTTGTTATTAATTTCCACTTCTCGCCTATTTATAAATCTTCTTGATAACCTTCGTTCTCATCAAGCATACATATCCTTGCACTGGTAGATTTCCTGAACCCGACCAAAGTACTCAATTAAAGATAAGAATTAGGTGAAGACTCAGTAGAAGAGACTAACGTATCAGTTAAAGAAAGATAACAGATTGTTTCATGAAATATGTGTAAACGGTGCTAGATACCTGATTGTCTTGGCTAGTCAGATGAATTTTTCGGGTCCGAAACGATTTTAACGTCATCTTGGTGACCTATGTCAAAATAAAGATACTCCGAATCGCGGATTAGCTAAAGGTAATCCGCTTTACGAACACTACTTACTTACACCTGTTACCACTCATGGAGAAGCATAGGCCGCTCACCAGGATTCTCCATCCAACTGTGTCCTTGATAATCCTTTCCAGTTGCTATTCATCTTTTTCATATCTGCTTCCGATTCTCGACACTGTGTTCTTTGGCATTCCTGTTTTTCGTTTCCCTCAAGGATTCAAAGTTAGCGTTTACCTAGTGATGCAGTTTGATGAGTACCTCAGTGTGTGTCCTATCCACTTCCATCGTTTTTTTCTAATTTCCTCTTCACTTGGAAGCTAGTTTGTTCTTTTCCACAGTAGGCTGTTGCTGACAGTATGCGGCCAATGAATGTTGAATATCTTGCGTAGACAATTGTTTATAAATACTTGTACATTTTTTATGATGGTTGTAGTAGTTCTCCAAGTTTCAGCTCCATACAGAACATAATAGAACTTTAAGTAACATATGCGACAGGGAGATCAACTTAACCTAACCATACCATAATGGAACACCGGCTCACTATGAAACAATTGCTGTGTTTCATCATGATAACACTAGTTATGTAGTAAAATCACTTACTGCTTGATAATAACGCATCCTTCCCATGTCTTCACGAATAGAATATTCTTCGATTGAGTTTATTACCAACGACGAAATTATAGGTATTTTAGTCACTGACTATTTCAGAATAATACAACCACCCTTAGTTTGTTTGTGAAATACCGAGTAATAAACTAGCTAATAACCAAAAAGACTTGTGTCTATGTTAGATCAGGTTATAAGATAATTGGACATTAGAAACATGATTCAGGAGAGAAACAGTGAATCTTATTACACAGATGACAGACGGTAACAGTATAAGTTCTGATAGACAAGAAAACGTTTAAAAACTTTTCGGTTATTCCACTATGTATATGACTGAAGCAAGTAAAAGTAAATTATTGATAAGATAACAAGTGATCAAAGCAATATCTTGTCGCACACTTTTAAAATATATAAACAAAGCAGGTTTATAGCCGTGGTCTAACAGTATTGACCATGTTTTTTTGTACAATCCACTCACAAATACAATATAAGCGCAGTTTTCGTCATCCTACTGAAATTGCCGATTTGGGAAAAGTTGTACTGTGATTCCTGAGCCAATTTTTTTCAAATCACTGAATCAAGTATTTGAAATCCTTTGGTGTGTGGTAGTGAGAGTAAGATATGATTGGTCACTGAGTGTGAACAAACAGGCATTAAGCTTATTGACTATTAAATACTTGATTTCTTTTCCTCGCATTGATTTCTACTCCGAACTCACTGAGTGTAACTGCTCCTAACTGTATCGAGTAACGTATTATCTTGTATTAATCTGGTTCTCTATTCTAAGTCGTGAATCCTGGATCTGATATAAAGTTGTGGTGTATGATACCTATGTTTGCAGATACAAGTAGTATGTAACATCATTCGGAAGTGGAATTTCTGCGAGCAGAAGGTTGAGAAGATTAAAACGAAGAGAAGTAGGAAACTGAAAGTAATCAAGATAACAGAAATGAGGGAACAATGAAGCATGTAAGAGACAATTAAGAGTTGTACAAATGATGTATTTGATGAGTCATTTTCACTTTTGACTAAACCACTGTGTGATTGTGAAGTTAACAATAAACTGGTCTTCTCCACCTGAGTGTTCGTTCACTACAATATGACTAGTCTCATTATCGTCATAACGTATTGTCGTAGTAGACTCGAGAGAGAGAGACAGAAACGAAATATTTCAAACCATTCGTTATATCATCGGTAAAAGTAAACCCTTATCTAAAATGAAATAACGTAACATCCTATTTATCCATGTTTCCTGTATTTATTTTAACACACAGATATTGGTACAAGGAGGCACCAAATACATATGCGCTACACAAATCTCATTCGATATGTGTGAGGGTTTTGATACTCCCCAGGTGCCCAAACCGAAACAGGTGGTTTTCTTAGGGGGCCACACCCCGAGCCTTCGACCTGAAGGTCTGATCCACAAGGCAGTGAAGCATCGTACGGAGATGCAGTCCTATGGAAACCGGTGACCAACAATTGGTTCATACGCTATTTGTTCCCGCAGGACACTGGAGTCCATGTGCACCATTGGTTTGGAATCCGGTTAAAGCGCCGGACATTCGCCTTTCATCCTCTCATTTTCGTAAACAACACCCCTGCCACGAGAAGGCAGTGAGTAGGACTTCCATTGAATTACTTTATGTGAAATTATGTCGTGAATATTTAAAACTTTTATTGTGTTTGGAAATTTGTGTATTTTAATTTAGAAAAATAACCAAAACTCATATTGTATAATCACATAAATGATTCAAAAGAGAAGTCATTTAACTTATTATACATAAATGTATAAACCCATTGAATTTATTGAATGGATGCTAAACGATAATTCACAGCTTCTTGACGAATATTCTCTGATTCAGTTATTCCTCTGCCAACAATCATTACAATAGATGATGAGGATGTCGTTGTAAAACGTTTCTTTACTTGTTCAGGTGTATTGTAATTTTGGCCTAGATCATCATTGGAATTAATAAGTTTTACACCTATCAAAGTAACATAAGAATAATATTAGAAGAAATAATTGGCAAAAACTAAAATAAAAAGCTCTTGTATGGTATAATTCAATTTGTAGATGGTATTTTTCATTAAGTAAGCACAATTTGATGTTATTGTGGTGTGTGCTACTTATATTGACATAAGTAGTAGATGATGTTAGTCGTGAACTGAAGGTCTGGCAGCAGCAAAGAGACAAGAGGATCGAACAGTAAAGAATGGAAACAGGATGCAATTTGTATGAAAATGCAAGAACAATGAAGTCTGGGTCATTATGAGACAATTGATGGACATTTTGCAAATTAAGTATTTACTATTTGATTGTTAGATTTTATTTTGTGTTAAACACATTCGATTGACCCCACTGTTGTTCTTGTTCACTACAGTATTATAAAGCAAACAAGAAACGGGGAGAAGCTATTTTTTTCAAGTAGAAA